TGCGCTGCGTGTGAACGCGCATCCGCACGTGTGTACCCGTACCCATGCTTGCGCTAACAATAAATCAATAATAGTTTATAAGTAATCTGTGCTGTACAGTATGCTTGTAAAATTTGTATATTTTTTACTTTTAAATCACTGTTGAATGTATGTTAACATGTTTTACTATTTTTTTTTAAAACAATTAGAGTTAGAAAAAAAATTAGATGAAAAGTTATAAACATATACTTTTTACACAGCTTATAATCGCATATTGATTATAAGCTCAAATAAATATGGCCAAAAAAAAAATATAAATAATAAATTAATAATTAAATCAAATTAATTATTTCTCAATTAGAAATATGTAGTAATGTTTATGTATTGTGAAATTAATCATCAAAAAGCTTAAATAATACAATAATTAATTACACAAAGGCTTTAAATATTATAATAACATGATAGTATCAATGTCAATGAAGTTTATACTAGTTAGAACCAAATTTTCACACTATATTTGTATGTGAATAAGTTTAATTTTGATGTAATAATTCTAATTAGTGTAAAAAAAAAGTTATGTCATCATCTTATCAATATTGTATTAATTATCACACATATATAAGGATAAGATCAAATATTAAGTACCAAACTTAATAAAATAATATCTCATATAACTTTTTTTTTTTTAATAAAAAATGAATTCTTTAGATTTTGTAAACTTAAAAAAACCATCTACATGTATAAGAACAATTTTTGTCACTTTTCTAAATAATTATTAAAAAAACAGTTTTCAGAAACAATACCATATAGAAAGGATAAAGAACTAAGTTTAGTTTAGGTAAACTTTTGAAAAAGTTTTTTTAATTAATATAAAAAATATAAAAATAATTTATCTCTTTAATGTTTAGAAAAATTAAATAAAAATTCTCAAAAAATAAAAAAATATAAATTGTTTTTAATTTTAAAAAAGTAATTTTTTATATTAATTTTTTTATAAAGACTTGTCTAAAAGTTTATATAAAATGAGCATGTGCTAACTATCAGAAGAAAATGATAAAGAGTAGGGTATTGAAGAGACAACTTGTGGATATCAAGTTTAAGCACTTCCCATGCTTAAAAAGAATTATTTCACGTCAAAACATGATTGAAAACTAGAAAAAACAAAAACAAAAACAAAAGAAATAATGAGTAAGTATTTAACACTGTACCAAATGAACTGTTCTTTGTTAGCTTCAAATTTCAAATATTACAGCTGACAACTTAAGGTGCAGTACGTCGGGTTGTTGTGAGGTAAGGAACTAAGAAGATGACCCAAAACCTTACAAACAAACCCGAAAACGCATTTGAAGAAATCGTGAGAGAAGTGCTTGGACGCTTGCGTTTGATCAACGCGTTGATAAGTCTCACCAATATCAATTGACTGATTAGAAAAAGGGTCTATACAGACAAATCTACAAAGTTTGTTTCATCTCTTGAATTTCACTTATCAAGACAGTTCCACAAGCACATATCATTCTCTGCTGATTACTCTCACTTTTGTTCCTCTCCTCTCTCTCATACGCACATTAATTTGTATCCACAATATATACTCTTTTCTATCCTCGTCTGTTCCATTTCTATTTCTTTATTATTACCCGCATTCAAAGAAGCATAAAACAAATATCACCGTGATTGTCAAAGTTGTTTAAATTACGCCTAAATTGAATTATCGCCAACTCATGCTGCTGCTGTTAGACATGCATGGATCTAATCGCCAAGATATCTAACTCAATCTTTTCTTCTCTAGGATTTATTATAGTTTGGTTTAATAGAAAGAAATAAAAGCCATAAAATTTACTTCTTTTTATATAAAAATAGCCTAGATACATGTCTTTTAGTAAGATTAATCAAAGGTTAATTTATGTAGTTATTTTCAAGACTGTAGAGAAACCTAGTCCTTATTGTCTAATTATATAAGTATGATCTTTACGTGGTTGAAAGCATTCTGTCTTTTTTCGTCCAACACAGGAGAAAAGAAGAACGAATAATCTTGATTCTCCGTAATTTAATTAATAATGGTTTGGATTAAAGGAGAACACGATAGTAATAGAGGTTTACCAATTTAAGTTTCATCATTGGACTTGCTCTATCAGTTTCTTCACGAAAATGGAACATAACAAATTTAGAAAAAAAAGGAAATCACAAAATTATATAAAAAGCATTAAGAATAAAGGTGCTTGCGACCTTTAAATGGAAAAGGATACCACATCAAAACATGATGTGTACCCCGACAAAATATGTTTCTTATATATAATTTTACTGTACTTTTTGTTGAAGGATACGAGCAATGGTTAAGAATAATTTGAGCCCTCACTCACCCAGTCTTTGATTATTTTATTTCATAAAATTTTCTCTGGTGTCAACTTGTGTTATTTATTGGTCATTAAATGTAAGTTAAAACGCAAAAAAGAAACCCCCCTAGAAAAATAATTTAAAAAAAATAAAACAACCTTTAATATAAGCTAAGTGAATTTCTGACGTGGGAAGCGAAAAACCAGGTGAATTATTGGGACTAGTTTTTCTTCCACGAAATCATTTGCTCTCTCTTTTTCGTTCTCTTGTTTCTATCGTCTATTCCAGCGGTAGAAAACCCTTAACCGATAAGACTCAAACCGTTACACCTAAGAAGGGGCTATGAAAATGACTTATCATATCGCTGGGATCAACACTGCGAATTTAGGTCCCAAACCAAAAAGCTAGTAGTTGAGAAAGGTCCCATCCGTGTGCGACAACAGAATCAAACCCATATACTATCAACCCAAACAGTTACTACTTATTCCTAGTGCAATAAATGGAACCCCATTTTGCTTCCCACCTTAGCTGTGTGGTGTGTGCCTATCATGCCCCCCTTACCCTTCCCAATCATGTATTTGCTCACTCCCTAAAAAAGCCACCAAATTTTAGAGGTTAACCTTTTAAGCAAGTGTCCCGAAAATTAGGTGTTACTAGTAAGGAGTAACTTAGTTACAAGTTAATGATTCAATGGAACGAAAATGAAATTTTAATGGTGCATGTAATTTTGCATAAGATAAAGCTGTCGTACGCCAAGGCTGGCTTGGCCTTTTAACGACTCGAATTCTCTTTCATGTGCCCCTGCAATTAGCTAGCTCGTGCCTAGATTCCCAATGGACGCACTTGTCTAATACTTTTGAGTATAATATTCTAGAACCCCAGCATCATCACGAGGGGTGGCAGTATATTTGTAATTCTGTATGTGACTGAATCGCCAAGTGTCACCCAAAATCCAAAATTCAATCGATCATATTCTACAAGTCCCCTGTTGTCACGCGACATCACGTGACGACTTTCATTGTTTTTAATATATGAAAAAGAAATGGTAATAGAATAAAACCTTATTTAATAAATGGGATTCAAAGATAAATGGATATATGATTCTTGCACGTTCTGGATGATTAGTCCAGTCATGACTCATGGGTAAGTCAGTACCAAAATTTGAGCCATGTTATTGGTCTATATTTGTCATTTGAGATGGGTTCGATTTTAAATAATGCGAGATTCTAAGGACAAATGGACAGTGTCATAGATCGCATCACGTATGAACAAAATTTCCAAGATGGAGCAGGTTTTGTATTCCCGCATGGCTTCATTTTTCTACATCTGGTTCAGATCCATAGTTAATTGTCCTTGGCAGGTTAAATAAGAGCAACATCTGAATCATACACAAGCATCTAACGACCAAGTCCACCCCAAAACTTATTGTAATTAAAAATTCAAATCTGATTGAGATAATGGCAGATAGCATACCCTTTATTCTAAAGTTTCGATTTACCTTTCCATGTTCTGCTACAATTTTTTGCTGTTTTTCAAAACCAGTGAAAGATGATTTTGGTCATGAATTATTCAAATGTGGACTCTCTTTCCTGTGCTTGTAGCAAAAGAAGGCAAAACTTTATCTGATTAATGCACCGCTTTATCTTGCCGCTTAGCTGTTAACTCAAGAGAAGGGGAGAAATGTCACATGTAAGTGTTTTTGCATTACTTTTAATTACATTTAGATTTTTATCTTGATAATTTTTAAAAAGTGATATTTAATGAAGTAAAATTTTAATTAAAAATTAACATTAAAAATATTTAAAATGCTATATTTGATTTTATATAAAATGTTAGTTGTTTACACAAGTTGACATCAACACTCAACAGTTCAGTGAATGAAAAATGTCTATTTTTAAAATTAAATAAAATTTATATGAATTGAAAATGCTTTAAAATAAAAACTGAGAAAACACATTAATGTCTGTTTATAAATAAAGTAAAATTAATTTTAAACTGTAAAAAGTAATTGAGATTTAAACTCAAATTAATCTCTACATAAATTTTACATTAGAGCATGTGTACAATGAGAGAAGTAAATATTGGGAGTTAAACACACAAGTCCTTAATATGTGAGAGAAAAGTGAACGTGAAAGAAATTTAGTAGTAATTTAATAATTTCTGAAATTAGATAAAAAAAATCATGGAATATCAACTTTAACATGATGGTACAGATAAAACTTCAGTGTAATTACTATTTAAAGAAGAGAGTATCAAATGTGTCGTTATCATACGAAAACCGTATGTTTTATTTTGCCATCATTTAAAAGGTTAAGATGATGCATCAATAGCACAAGCCTAAAAGGTTTGCTCTTAAATCTGATTAGGCTCATGTTTAGATCTAATTGCATTACCGTTCAATATAAAATGGAGAGCCAGACTCAAAACTAGTTGGCCCTCAGCAGAATGTGTGGTATGGTAGCAGACAAATGCGCCCACCCATATTTTCAGGATACAATTCGTCTCATCCATGTTACGAAAAAATCCAAGAGAAAATGAAAGCTTATTTTATAACAAGGCCACATCAATAGATAAACAGTTGATATTAAAACAAAATTTAGAAAGAAAGGCACTCACCCACCCATCCCATCTCTGTTGTTCATTCCCAAATTTAAAAACTGTTATAATCCTTCTTCCCCCCCGCACTCCACTCCAACATAAACAAATACTTAAAAATTACCATCTAAAATTCCATCTCTCTCTGAAGGAACATCATGGCCTAGCTGTTTCTTGGATCCGGAGATTCTGGGTATTTTATTATGTATATAACTCCTTATTTTATAAACGCAGTAACCCACAAGATATGATTTGGTTCCTTCCCATTGTTCCTCCCTAGGCTCAAACCTTTCTGCGTGTTCTTTCATTGGAGTTTGTAGCATAGTTGTAATGCCTGTAAATCCATGGACCCTCTTCTTCTTATGCATTTCCCTTTTAGTTCCATTCCATTCTTTTATTGCTCATGCAGTGAACCAACAAGGGAAAGCTCTTCTTTCATGGAAGAGAACCCTGAATGGATCACTGGAGGTATTGAGTAACTGGGACCCAATTGAAGACACCCCATGTAGCTGGTTTGGTGTGAGTTGCAACTGGAAGAATGAAGTAGTACAATTGGATTTGAGGTATGTGGATTTGCTTGGAAGACTTCCCTCTAATTTCACCTCATTGCTTTCCTTGAACAGCCTTATCTTAACCGGAACCAACCTCACCGGTTCAATCCCAAAAGAAATAGGCAACCTCTTCCGACTCAGCTACTTGGACTTGAGTGACAATGCCTTGAGTGGGGAAATCCCAAGCGAGCTATGTTACTTGCCACAACTCCAGGAACTCCATCTCAACTCCAACGACCTTGTGGGGTCCATTCCACTTGCAATTGGGAACCTCACGAAGTTGGAGAAGCTGATCCTGTACGACAATCAACTCAGTGGTGAAGTTCCTAGTACTATTGGCTACCTGAGGAACCTTCAAGTGATAAGAGCCGGAGGAAACAAGAACCTGGAAGGTTCTTTGCCACAAGAAATTGGTAACTGTTCCAGTTTGGTGATGTTGGGCTTGGCAGAAACAAGCATCACAGGTTCTCTGCCACCAAGTCTTGGCCTTCTCAAGAACCTTGAAACCATTGCCCTCTACACTTCCCTGCTCTCTGGCCAAATACCCCCTGAACTTGGCGACTGCACAGAGCTCCAAAACATTTATCTTTACGAGAACTCCCTCACAGGATCCATACCAAGCAAATTGGGAAACCTTAAGAACCTCAAAAACCTTCTGCTGTGGCAGAACAATCTTGTTGGCCCCATCCCACCTGAGATTGGAAACTGCGAGCAGTTATCAGTGATTGATGCGTCAATGAATTCAATAACGGGAAGCATTCCCAGAACTTTCGAGAACTTGACGTCACTGCAAGAGCTCCAACTCAGTGTGAACCAGATTTCGGGGGAGATTCCTGGGGAATTGGGCAAGTGTCAGCAGCTGACGCACGTAGAACTAGACAACAACCTAATCACGGGCTCAATACCCTCCGAAATAGGAAACCTTGGGAATCTAACGTTGTTGTTTCTGTGGCACAACAACCTGCAAGGTAACATTCCCTCGTCCCTTTCCAATTGTCAAAACCTAGAGGCCATTGATCTTTCGCAGAATGGATTAACGGGTCCCATTCCAAAGGGGATATTCCAGCTCAAGAATCTCAACAAGCTTTTGCTCCTCTCTAATAATCTTTCCGGGAAAATCCCCTCTCAGATTGGGAATTGTTCCTCCCTTATTCGCTTCCGAGCTAACAACAACAACATCACCGGGAGCATCCCCTCGCAGATTGGGAATCTCATCAATTTGAATTTCTTGGACCTGGGGAGCAATCGAATTTCCGGCGTTATCCCGGAGGAGATCTCCAGCTGCCGGAATCTCACATTTTTGGACTTACATTCCAACTTCATCTCCGGAAATTTGCCGGAAAGTTTGAACCAGCTCGTTTCGCTTCAGTTTCTCGATGTCTCCGATAACATGATCGAAGGTACTCTGAGTCCTACCCTTGGCTCGCTCGCCGCACTCTCCAAACTCGTTCTCGGGAAGAATCAAATCTCCGGCTCCATTCCGAGTCGACTCGGTTCTTGTGCCAAGCTGCAGTTGCTGGACCTCAGCAGCAACCGTCTCTCCAGCGAAATCCCCGGCAGCATCGGCAATATTCCAGCGCTGGAAATCGCTCTGAATCTGAGCCTAAACCAGCTCTCCGGCGAGATACCTCAGGAGTTTTCCGGCTTGACGAAGCTCGGAGTGTTGGACATTTCTCACAATTTTCTCGAGGGGAACCTCGAGTATCTCGCTGACCTGCAAAATCTCGTGGTCCTCAATATCTCGCACAACAAATTCTCCGGACGGGTCCCGGACACGCCTTTCTTCGCGAAGCTTCCCCTCAGCGTGCTTGCCGGAAACCCGATGCTGTGCTTCTCCGGCAACCAGTGTAACGGCGTCGGGAGATCGGGGAGGCGTGCGAGGGTGGCGCGCGCGGCCATGGTGGTCCTGCTGTGCACGGCGTGCGTGTTGCTCATGGCGGCGCTGTACGTTGTCGTCGCAGCAAAACGACGAGGGGACCGGAAAAACGACATGGAGATAGATGGAAAGGACAGCGACGCAGACATGGCCCCACCCTGGGAGGTGACACTGTACCAGAAACTCAACCTGTCTATTTCTGACGTAGCCATATGTCTATCTGCTGGCAACGTCATCGGCCACGGTCGATCCGGCGTCGTTTACAAGGTGGACATGCCGGCGACGGAACTGACCATAGCGGTTAAGAAGTTTCGGTCGTCGGAGAAATTCTCGGCGGCGGCGTTTTCATCCGAGATCGCGACGCTGGCGCGAATCCGTCATCGGAATATTGTGCGGCTGTTGGGTTGGGGAGCGAACCGGAGAACGAAATTACTGTTCTATGATTATTTACCCAACGGTAATTTGGACACGTTGTTACACGAGGGGTGCACAGGATTAATCGACTGGGAGACGCGGCTCAAGATAGCCCTGGGCGTGGCTGAGGGTGTGGCTTACTTGCATCACGATTGCGTCCCTGCTATCTTGCACCGGGACGTCAAGGCGCAGAACATTTTGTTAGGAGACAGATATGAACCCTGTTTGGCTGATTTTGGATTCGCTCGATTCGTCGAAGAGGATCAAGCTTCTTTTTCCGTTAATCCTCAGTTCGCCGGTTCCTATGGCTACATTGCGCCCGGTAAGCCATTTTCTCTTTTCTTTTTTTTCCCCCCCTTTTTTCAAACCAAAATATAGAAATAACTATTCACGTTAAAAAAAATACAATTATTTCTCACACTCTGTTCGTAATAGTAGAACCTGTTTATCAATTTTAACTGACCAGATTACATATCAAGGTTGGAACTTAATTAAATAATGAAATCGCTCTATCATATAGTGCATACGTGATGTAGTGGATGAATACCGGCCAAGTTAAAAGAGCGTTTTAATTTTATGATAAGAGTAAAATGTCTTGTCTGAACCAATTTAGAGGTAAGATTGTGTATGGGATAGATAAGCAATGCTGATTATTAATTGAATTAGATAACTTGTGAAATGATAAAAAAGAAATAGAAGACATTTTATAACTATAGTTCAAATGGTATCGGCTGATCATAGGCAATTGAGGGATATATGATCTATGAGGTGCTAAAATTGTAGGTAGAGTTGGTCTGATATTGGCAGTTTTTGATATAAACAATGTTGATGGACCAGAGCATGTGATGATATGAGTGGGAAATGGGGACCGTACGACCATCCATCTCCTTTATGGTTTATGGTTTCGTTGTGTGTACATCTCGTGTACTTGACGACACAAAGTCACAAACTGCCTGCATGCATAATAATTACACATAATCTTTCACTTTGGACAAGCATAAGGCATGGTAGTGCCCGCACAAAAGCCAAACCTCCCGTGTCACACATAACATGGCCATCTTAATCTGATTAATCCTTGTTCAGCTACTTTACAGACAACAAATGTCACTTACCTCTCTGTCTTGGTAACATTTGGAGAATTATAATTTTGTGTTGGGTTGGAATCTTGCAGAGTATGCATGCATGCTTAAAATCACAGAGAAGAGCGATGTGTACAGCTTTGGCGTGGTCCTACTAGAGATAATAACGGGGAAAAGGCCCGTAGATCCATCATTCCCGGATGGACAACATGTTATTCAATGGGTACGGGAGCACTTAAAGAGCAAGAAGGACCCAATTGAGGTTCTGGATTCCAAGTTACAAGGCCATCCAGACACACAAATACAAGAGATGTTGCAAGCACTTGGTATCTCTCTGTTGTGCACAAGTAATCGTGCAGGGGATCGACCGACAATGAAAGATGTTGCAGCATTATTGAGAGAAATTCGACATGATTCTCCACCAGGGGCTGAGGCCCACAAGCCCAAAAGAACTGAAGCTTCCTCCTATTCCTCCTCCTCAGTCACCCCAGCTCAGTTATTGCTCCTACAATCCACTTCCCACTCCTCATCACTTGCTTATTCCTCTTCCTCTGGAGCAGCCTACCATCCTCCAAGGAACCAATCCTCAGTTATTCAAAATTAATACGCTTCTCTCTATTTCAGATCAATATATTAATTACTATATTTTCGGGCTTTAGATCATGCTAGATATTTTGATTGGTTAGTTAGCAGTAGTAGTAGTAATTAACGTTAGTGTAATGTGGGAATTGTAAATGTACTTCGGTTGTTCTGATTGATAACGAGATAAAAAGCAAAAGAAGAGTGTACAGAAGCTTAATCGATTTACATGATTCTAGTTCTTTTCTTATCAGAAATTATGGCTTCTTCCCGCATCTTAACTACACTTTGCTATATATAAAATATATATGTGAGGGCCCCCTACATCTATTTATAGTAAGAAAAAAATTAAAATCAAAAGGTTGCTTTCCATAAGAAGTTGCTTCCATCAATTCTTCAAAAGAGAGCAATAGATTGTGTAGTGTTAATTACTTGGAATGCCGAAGAGTAAAAGTGGGAGTTGTCAGGTTGAGCAGGAAGGTGAACCATCATTAGGTACTTTTTAAGCCCCCTTTTGCTTCCATTATGATTGTTGCTGATTATAGAAAAAGAAGTGAGTTGGCTTGTCTTCATTCAACTAACTGTCTAGGCCCGCACCATGTGAACTTGGAGCATTCTGCATTTAAGTCCACAATATATATGGTCAAGCAATGAGCAATCTCAAGTGTAATTTCCCCATATAAGCCATTCGATTACAGCTTATAGCATCTGACTTTGCTTTAAATAGTTGACAGCACAAGACTACCGTGTCAATGGTGTCATGAATAGACCACCAAATGCAAAATGGTTATGTTGCATTTCTTTCTTTTAGCTTTTCCAACTTCGTATCACTCAGTATTATCCTATATTAAGTGGGTGCAGTATTTCAGGAGTACTTGAAAAACTTTCTTTGATCCAACAGTGGCATTTTGATAGCACTCACCAGACGCACATGTAGATTAATGCGTAGTACAGACTCAGGCGCTCTGGCCCCCCTCTTGTAAGATATGGGATCTTTCATCTACTGCCCCACAAAGGAAACCAACAAATTGTATGTGAGCCGAGCCTCCATCAAATAAAGAAAATGAAAGATTACCAAAGTAATATGGTTTTTATTTTATTATTAATATTCCTTTCATGACACGTGACAAAAATTTAATTTAAAGTGTAACTTACATGCTATTATTTCATAAAATTCCCGTGTCTATCTTCACATGACCATGTACTAGACTCAAATATTTGTACTCTTTTTTTAGCCATAAAAAGGTCTGACCACCAATGAGAGTCTATTTTCACATGCTATGTATGGCCCGGAAATGATAAATGTTATCTGTGGAAAACATTTCGAAAAAGTGAGAGCAAAATAAATTACAGGGTCGGGGTCATTTGAAGGTGATAATTTTATCTTCTTCTAGTCTGATTCATCCAAAAGGAAAGAAAAATTTGATCGAATTATCATCACAGTTTTGTAGAGTTATGATTGAATTTGGGTAGGGACCAAGCAAGCTCATTTTATTTATGCCTTAAAACCTATGTCTGACACTAACCATAATTCAAGGTGTGGGCTAAGCCTAACACGAGTGATCTCTATACCCAAGGACAAATTTTTAACAGTGTTAAATCCCCTTTCAAATTAACAAACACTTCAATTTAGTACCATCTCTTCGATCTCCAAATCAAATTGAATATCATTTTGTCGTCTGAAAGGGAAACAATAGACAGACACAACAGTTTCACGAAAACACTAAGCAATAAAGTTTTTCAATATTAAAATTTATATTATTTTGCATCCAGCGTTTTGGTAGTGTCATAAATATTTCAGTCCACAACCTTCATTTTTACTGAGGATCCTTTTCAAAGTTGAAATAAGAGTCGTATCATAGATAGCTCGAATATACACATCTGATTTAACTATACTATTCTAGTCGAACTAGCATGCCAAAAAGATTATACAATTTATTCTCATTAAACACCAATTGTACAGAAACTTTTGATCATCAACAAAACCAAAATTATCACATCCAGATTTTCTTTATTTGTGATTCAGTTTTATTTTTATTTAAGCAAAAATATACTTGTTTAAATAAAAATACAAAAAATGATAAAAAAAATTTAAACACTATTAAATTAAGCAATTTTTTTTTAATTTTGACTTAAGTAAATTTTGTGATGTGAAAAGATAAAAACTGTGTGTGAAGAAAAGAGAGGATTGAAGATAGATGGACATAAGGAGAGTGAGTGATATATATGAATGATGGTGGAGAGAAAGCAGGATAGAGAGTTGGGTATGGAAGAAAGAGAAAAAAATAAATATAGAATAGAGTGAGAATGTGAAGAGAAAAAAAAAGGAGTTGAACATGAGGTAGAGAAAAAAGGAAGTTGAAAAAAGAAAGGAAGAATTGAGATGAGAGAAAGAAGAATGTTGAATATAGTGGCGAAAAAGAATTGAATATAAAAATTGAAAATGAATATTAAGCATGAGGAGAAGAAAAAAAAAAGATTAAAAGAGAAGACTTAAAATTCGCTTAATCAAATTTGTCAAAATTTATTTAAGTAAAAAAAAATAAAATTTGCTTAAGTTAATTTTACATTAAAAAATTTTGTAGTTTTTTTTCAAATATAACTGAATGCGTCACAATTGTGAGAAATTTGGATCCAAAATTATCATTTCAATATAAAAATAGTGAACAACTCCATTCCCTAACTCATATCGGTTATAACTGCAAAGGTCACCATCATCTCTCAAACAAGTAACTGGAGTTTCAGTGTTCCAAATCCACAAGCTGTTGCTAAGTCTGAGCAAACAGTTAGTTCCTAATGCCAGGATCACTGAAACTTCTGCTCTTCCATGACATCAGGTTAACGGGATTTTCTCTATTTCAGGCTAATTTGTTTTACAATTGGAAAATCAATTCTCGCATTTTTTTTTTCAATTGAAAACATGCATTCTAATAAAAATACATTATTCATATTAATTTATGTCCGTATCTCAATTATAATCAATGATTCAAAATTAATTTCATTAAATTCAATTCTACTCTAAATCAATTTTATCAAAATTAATTCTTCTTTACTCGTTACTTTATTGGTGTAGGGCGTTATATACATATAACAACCCAAAAATGAGTTTATATGACAAAATGACAATTCCTATCAGTTCATCCGCATGCAAGGAGAGGGTTATTGTAACTCTTATATATTTATTGTCACTTCTGATTTAAATATTTTATTTTTAATTTAATGAATAAAGAAAAAATATTATTAATTAGTAAATTATTTATTCTACTTTATGTTGCTTTGCTTGGCGTAAATGTTAACGAGACAACTACACACGAAGTTGGAAAGGAATAAAGGTCTCTCCTTTGTTTTTACAAACTGCAACGAAAGGCCCAAACATAAAGATAGGCTAACTTGCCTATAGCTCATACCTGGGCTCATATCTGGGCTCATATCAGAATGTCATGGAGAGAACTCCTAAGCCCAATAATACAAGTGACCAGTTTTTGGGCTACACCCAAATACTCGTAATATTTAACATTTGTTTATTAAATTTTTTCTTTGAAAAAAAATATTAGTCCTTATTTGAACCAAAAGTGATTATTAGTCAAGATGTGTTGTTAGATTATTTAAAAATTTAGTAATAATTTTTTGAATAAATATATTTTTAATACCCTTAAAATATTGATTTTAATATTTATAAAATAATTTTTTATTTTAGTTCCTATATTTTAAAATATTATTTAGTTTTATTTTTAATGATTGGTAAAGGATAATTCAACTAAATTAAATATTGTTACGTGCCAATTTTTAAACATATGCTAAAACTATCAAAATAAAAAAATAAATGCATAGAAATAAAAATAAAAATTTAATATATTTAAAGCTAAGTTCTTGTAGCAGTGAGAAATGCGAGATGGTTCTGTAATTCAGAAGATGCAGTTTTCTCTTGTCGAGTTCACAAACAGTCCACCGGGGGTGTTCTAACCTCTGACAGAATCCTACTTCATGCTGATATTTTACAGTCATATAGTTGGTCACTGGTCATATTTGTTAGGCATGAATGTATTCTTTTGGAATAAGCAGCTGAGCAGAGCACAGAGGCTGTATGACAACTTATTTATTATTACCTGGCTAAAATATATGATGATTTAAACTTCATAAATATGTTTGAATTTAGTTTTAATTAATAAGAGTTTGTACTGTCCATTTTATACTCTTTTATTTTGATAATTATCGTTAGTAAGGACAAAACAATGTGTGAATCTCTTGCACAATAACGGGTGAGGGAGGAAATGGAGAAGAGGGGCAGGGAGCTATAGTTTGTTTTTAAAATTATTTTATATGAATTTAAATATTTTTTCATTTAATATAGTCTATATTTTTTAATTTATTCAAATAAGTACATATAATTTCTTGTTTTTATTTTTATTCATTCAAATAATGCATCTTTTTCTGTTCTTTTTTTAGTCTCTTAACTTTTTTCTCTCCTCATTTCATCTAAACAATGCGTAAATGATCAACTTTATGATTGTGTCAAGCACAAAGAGTATAAAATGGAAACTATACAGATACTTTTTTTCATTAAAAATGCGTACATACCTCTGCTGAGACTTCAATTGCAGTGTAAGAAATCCATTTTGCTCCTTGTTTGCTTTACATTTCTCTGCCGTGGTTGAGTCAGTCTTCCTGAAGTATATAAATGCATTTTATATTTTTGTTTGTTGTTAGAATCAGCGGCATAATTATCTTCAAATGTTAAAACAGATAACAACTAGTTGATTGGTTGAATTTGATGGTAACACAGCATAAGCAAAGCAGTATATAACAACTTGTGCGTTTTGTTGTTTTAGATTGTGTTGTTATCTATGCTCTTGAAACTGTACCTGAAAGTATAGGGTAACCAAAGCATGTGAATTGTTTAAATTTTAAAGAAGGGTAAACTAATTATATACTTACTATCTTATCAACTAGTACAAATGGGAAAGGAAAGAGAGGAAGTGACCAAGGCAAGAACATGTCCATTTTTACTATTCATAAAAAACTGAGGTATATTTCGAGTAATGTTTTTATAAGCAAATGCTAGTCCCGAGTAATATTTAAAAATGTTATTAATGTACTTCTGTAATGATTTTTAATGCACTTTAATATAAAAGTTTATGATTCTCGTTAACAACGACCCTATTTTATAATATAATCCAGAAACAAAAACTGTACGGCAGGGAACAATGGCACAGTTGAAAACCAACAATTGTGAATATGATATGTATGTAGCAAGGACTAGTTGATTTTTGTGGCAATAAACATACTTTCTCTCTAAGAAACAAAAAAGTAGGCATTGCTTGTTACTGGTGTGTCTGTTTATATTATCCTACAGGAAAGTGGTCTTCTCATGCTTCATATACGGAATCATCTTATCATAAGCCTTTCCAGTTTGAGGCAGCGTAATCTCCAGCTCATAATATAAAGCATTCTTCCATTTCTTCCTTGAGTTCCTTGTATCCTCTTCTATTTTACGTTTCTAGACTCTTGTATAGACCGTCAGCGTCCTTTATTCTTTAATCGAAGTGGTGGGGATCGCTTTGTTGTCACGCAAGGAAGCGTCAATTCTTTGGTTACAATTCTACCCTTCTATACATTATTCTTAATATTAAAAGATCCATATCTTGGGTCACTTCACTAGGATGCTACTAACACCTGCAACTCAAGAACCATGTGCCCCCTTCTTTTTTTTTCTCGTCTAGTTTCGGATGGTCTAAGATTAATAAAATGATCCATGCAGTTATGACGTTGACTGTTAGCTTTCAACAAATTTACAATTTTGCCTTGAAAATGGTGTCGATTATTATTATTATTATTATATCTATTTTTACATGTTTCTTGAAGAAACTGGATATTGTTACACAGATTATCGCTGAGTCAAATTTCAAAATAATAAAAAAATGTGTTTTTTAGATTGTGTGTCCCAATGTAGTAGTACTATTTAGGCAAAACCTTCAAGTTTACTCGCGCGAAAACACGAGCTTGGTGGGGAAAACGATTGTTCACCACTAATTGATCTTCGGTTCGCTGTATTAAAATTATTCTTCGTTTTATACTTACTGTGCAAAATTAACTGCAGCCATTTCTACATACATTAAAATATTATTCTCTTTTTTTCTTTTTTTTTGAAAATTCATACTTTGGTTATATAATATATATTAATATAATGTTACAGAGAAGGTAGCATAGAAGATTCAACGGATAAAGTCTCGAGATTTGTTTGTAGCTAGCTTCTTTGTAATTCTCCACATGCAAAACCACATATAACGGATGCATTAGCAGTAAAATATATAATTTACTTTAAATTTTGTCTAGGAAGCATGGAAAACTATGGTTCCATGACAAGATAAGATGTATTCCAGGTTTCTTGTCGAAGTCAAATTCATTGTCAGCAACGTTCTTTGAATTTCATGAAGGAAGGAGATAGGAAGAACACACCTCGATTCAGGTTATATATTGAAAACATAATTTTTTGTAGATTTACATAATCTCTAACAACAAAACAAAACATCTCTAACCTGTTAGCCAAAAATAAAACTATGCCAAAATTAACAAATATAGCCAAACCATGTGAAGCTTATAATGAAAGCAAAATCCCCAAAAGAAAAAAAAAGTGGGAAAAAAAGAATATATATATATATATATATATATATTTATAACAGATCGAGAAACATGTATGATAGGATCCAATTTGTTCATGGACATCTCACATTCCTTCCAGGACCTCCATAATAAAAGTAAGTTCCCCAGACATTGTTTGATCCCATCCTTATGTCATAGCAATTGGAATGATCAGCCAATTGGTGGATATTTGCAAGAGGAAGCAAGTTATTGTCCCAATCAACAACTTGTAAGTTTCTAAAATATGCTGCTTTTCTAAAGCCTTCTTCAGCAAAATGGCCACTACCCATTTGAGTGCCAGTGTGGTAGCCCCTTGAACGAGAATTCACAATTTCTCCTCCAAATTGTAACATGCTTGCATGGTTTCTCAAATGACTAAACAAGTTTGCTGGCCAGTACCCAACAAGTAGCCCTGACCCAAACTCTAGCCACCAATGTCCATGCTTTGGGTCCTATACACACAGAATTTTCATTATGGTATCTAAGGATTATTGAAATAAAAAATGAAATGTACGTTACAGCTCGAGTCCAAGTGTCAAACCTATATTAATGTGTTGGCATAATTGAAAACACGAAAACTTTCCATTGTGAGTTAACTAATGTCTTGTCATAAAGTCTAAACTGTTTGCTTACCATTTTCAATAATGTTATTGGAAAACAATAAAACTGAGAAAAAGAAGAAGCAAGACAAGTTTTCCTCTTAGTTAGGCTCGAGATGCCACTTACAGCAAATCCATAATAAAAAAAGAAAAGAAAAGCCTGAGCCGTGAAATTTTGCTTTAATAAAGGAAGGAAGGAAAAGGCTCAGATATAGTCGACCCCATGAAGGACACTCGTACAAGGAAAGCGAGGGAATCTTCCATTTGAATAACAATAACATGCAGAAAAATTCAAAAGAAAAGGGAGAAAAAAGTGAACGAATTATTGCTTCACTTAGATACATTTTTTCCATTCTCAATTGGATTATGCATGTTTAACCTTTTTTTGTCAAGGGAATCAAGATTGTGAAACATAGCATATAACGGTTTAAAAAGCCGTAGAGCTCAAGTTAACAACAAACCATCTTCCAAACCATTAAGCCTTTTTGGTTAAAAGTACCCTATTTTCTCCTTAATTGGTGTTTTTTACCTTCCAAATCATTAAGCCTTTTTGTATTAAAGGACCCCTATTTTCTCCTTAATTGGTGTTTTCTTGTTGGTTGACTTATAGGTGTTGAATTACTTTGAAAAAGAAAAAAACTCACCTTCCAAACCATTAAGCCAATATCAAATTGCCTTCCATTATAGATGGATCTTGGGGAGATTGCAGCCCCTATTGCTATCCTGTTGTTTGTTTGGATAAATCCTGAACATAACAAGTTGTAGCATCCAGTAGCTTGATATGCGTCCGTCTATCAAATAGCAGAGATATCTATAAGATGGGAAAGAAACGAGGGAACTAGGAAACAAAGGAAGAAAAAAGAGGCACGCAACACTCACTGTCCAATAAGTGAAGAACCTAGGATAGTTGTCTCCATATAGCTCAGGGCTTACCTGAAGGAAAATATATGTTTCTTATTTAGCTAGAAACTAGAATGCTCCATGGACTAAAAACTACAGCAAATGATGAAGAGAAACGTATTCCTAAAATATTCTTCAATATCTTCGTAATATTCACAAAAATATTTTTAAATTGAATTTTTTTTTAAAGAAGTATGGACACATACCTGCCATCCAGCTTCTATGGTATTCAGATCATTACCAAACGATCCAGCAATAACCCATATCTGTGACAAACTGAATTCATATGGATCGGTTACGCTTGGTGTCCACACGTTTATGCTTGCTTTTGCTCCATAGTATTGATCTCCATTTACAAATACAACTGCATGCTGCAACATGATGGATGTCAAAGTTGTCGGCAAACATACATATGTGCATGCATAAGAATGGTTTTGCTATAATATGCTTATTTATTTATTTTGAGCTTCTGCTGGAAAATTTTGTGCATGTGGCATTCAACAGGGATACACATGAAGAGACTCCTCATGTGAATAGTGATTTTGATGTTACTTTTTGGTGCAAATAGGAGGCAAAGTTATGTATGTGTTGTCCCTTCTATGTCTTTTGTTTTGCAACTCAAGTTGAATTTTGATGGATAAGGAAAAGCAGGGTTGTTCTTTTCTTTCTGGCAAGGAGAAGCAGAAGGATGAAACTGAATACAGAATGCTGGAAAAAAAATTACGAGAAGATACTTTCCTTTCAAATGAATGCACAGTGATAAATGGAAACAAGGACAGGGGAAAGACTAATTTGGAAGAGAAAGATCAAATTTCTTAACATTCCATAAACAAATTACATTTATAGGCACTAACCTCATGACCAGTGCCTGTTGAGTCCCTCCGTACATGTCTTGGTTTTCTTCCAAATCCTCTGATGGAGCTTGCTCTAAGAATATCTTCTTCTGTTGTTCTTCTGATTGGAACAGTTCCTTCTGGACATGCTTCACCAGAATCAGTCCAAAGCTGAAAGCTCTCTATTACTGTTTCTTCATTGGAGTGGCCCTTAGGCCTTTCTGGTGGATCCTGTAAACCTTGTGCCTCTTATTTTCTGTCTCTCAAATAAAATTCAATCTCTAAAATAAAACCTTTAATCCATTGTTCATTCTAAAGGATGGTTATTTGCTACATTGAAATTCCAAAATCCCCAGAATGGCTCAACAATTCTGAGGAATGTGGATATATCTGAAATTCAAAACAAAGTCCTTTTCTTTGGCATATGAGTTGGATGAAATTACCAATGGTCTTTGCCCTTTGAGCTGAGGATGGTCAAAAGCAGGTTGCTGATGAGATAAAACACAATCTATCAAATCACCATCTGGACTCTGCAAGAAAATAACAAAATCATAGATCACTGAATCAGGAGAAGGAAAATGCAGTTTGTCATTGTCATTGTCACAGGTTATAAAGCAATGGAAAATGCCTTAATTGTTTTAACAGCGGGCTTGTTGATCTTCTTGAGGTGAGTTCTGATTCTCCTCAGCTTTTGCAACACTGCACCTGGTCTCAATCTCACAGTGTGGTTAGCATTGAGTTGAGACGGCAGTGGTAAAGGAGAATTGGAAGCAATGGGGTGAGAAAATGCTGGGCTAATTGAAGAAACAAGTAGCAGCAAAGCAACAAAGACAGGTAACATAGGTAGAGTATTTTGGGAAGTAGAAGCAGCCAATTTCAGGGAATGATTTAGTGAACTTGTTTCTTCTGGGGAATGATGATTTTCTTGTATGCATTGGTGTTGTCTTCTTCTGTGATTAGCTGCAAAATATGGCTCTTTCTTATGTTTTGTCCAGGAAACTGAATATCCCTTCATGTCCATACAAAACAGAAGAACTACCAAGAAGAAACCCCAAGTTTGGTTGTTGCCTTCACGTTTTCAAATTATAAACAACTCTTGCTACTGGTCCTGACTTGAAAAGAAAGAGAGGAGAGAGAGAGAGAGAGAGAGAATATAGTGTTTTTAATTTTATGCTCCCACACCATGAAAACTCTTGTACCAGCACACAAAATAGACCCAGACCCCATAGGTGGGGTTGCATTTCCAAGTTTTACTTTTACCTCCCGAAGGGCTGTGTTTACAGTGGAATAATTAAGCAGAAAAGTTATGTGTTGGTTGATGTTTTATTCCTCTGCCTCCTGTTGAAATCTCTATTTGATGTGGTACACAAAGGTATTGTTAATAATTATTAGAGCATTTTAGGCACACAATTTTGTTAATAAACGACTTTACAGTAGAAATATTAAATTTTATTCTCTGAACTCCTTACAGACTCCTATGTTAGGATTAAGTAATACTGTTCTCAATTTAAGTTTTTAATAATTAAAAAATCACCTTAAAAATTGTGACAAGTTTCTAAAAATAAGAGTCCCATCAAGTATCATTGGCATAACTTTTAAAATGTTTGAGTGCTGATGTTAAGCCATTGTTTAACTAGTGTATTAAACCAATTCAACTAAAAATGGATCACCACCTTTCCCATGTCTTGCGTACACTTCAATTCAACTTTCATTCTGATTTCTCTTCCCATTGTTGTATACATTTTTGTGCTGTCATCCTCTTTCTGTTCCAACCCCACGGAATATTGTTCCGCTCTCCCCTGAGGATATCTGCTTTTACTTTCCTCTGCTCATTTTATTAAATGCAATTCATACGGCCCAAGAGAAATTGACTTTATGATTATGGAGCTACCTCCACAGTAAGATGCACCAGACACCAAAGCAACTTTAATGGGCCATGCCTAATTATTATTTTTTTATCCAATGGCAACATGCTATCATGAATGATGAGAGGAGCAAGGAAATAGCAATCACAACTTATGATTAGTCTTAACTCCTTTTTTGACTGTATGTGTGTGGGTAATCAGGTTGATTATCAAAATGTTACTAAAAATCATCCTCTGTAAACCGAACATCAAATTCTAACTAATTGATTACCCGGTTTAAATTACAAGGGTGATTGAATTATAATAAGCATGGGTATCAATTTGATGACCTAATGACATTTTTGCCTTTTACTCTATTTGCTCTAACACTCTAAAGTATGCATATTTAGGCTAATCAATGTTTATGGAAAATTTATTAGGTAATCTGATATTTTATGGTTTCAGTAATTCATATCACCTCATATGTTAAAATTTTATAATTTACAAAAAATAAAATACATACATATTATAATGTGATTGATCCAGAAAATTAACATAATTATTGTGGAAATCTTAAAATTAAATAATTTGTTAAAATAAATAATCAAACCTTTAACATTATTATCATGACAAAGTAAAAATTGAAATTTTGATTTAAATAGATACTTCACTCTTATCTAATTACAAATTATTATGTTAAAAATTAGTTAACTTTTATAGTAACTAATCTAAAAATAATATATTATAATTAATTGAAAATATAAAAATTAAAATTGAAAACTAAAACCAAAACAATGCGAGTTTGACATTATTATATATTTTCACTGTACAGGGACCAAGTTTTACATGAGACATGAGTGATGAGCTTGACGTAAGGGACATCGTTAACTGATGTCAATTGAGGGTCAAAGGAGTCAATGGCCTGTGTGTGCCGACAAATGACAATTTTGGAGAAAGTATCTGCTGTGTTGTGAGGTTGTCCCTTTAAATTTAAACTTGATGTTCCAAACCCCCGTTTTGTAAGTTGAAACTTCTGTAAATTGTAAGGAGCAAAAGAAGAAATATGTCTCAATAACCTAATATTAGGAAATAATTTCCCTTTCCGACATGGAAAGCTTACCCTAGCTAGGTGAAAGCGTTGCTTTACTATTATCGTTCGAAAATTCTCTTTTTTCTATTCTGCAATTCACAAAATTATCATTGATAATTTGTTCGTTAAGTCTACATCCACAAGTCTATGTCAAGTTCTATCATAAATGCAAAACAAAAAGTTGATTCATTAATAACGTAAAGAGTTTCACGTTAACAATTTAATTTTCTATTTAATCAAATAAAAATGTACTGACAAAAATATTTTCTCTTGTTCTATGTTCATATTATTCTTTTATCATGATAAAATACTATACATGTTCACTTTAAGTTACTGATAGTTTCAGAAAATTTATATGCATCCCTGTATTTTAAATTCAAGACATGGTTCTTGAAAATGTGATAATTTTCATATATACTTTTCTTTCCACATAGCAACTAGTTTTTTTTTTTTTCAATTCTATTTTGTAACACGTGTTTTATGAATTTTTAAACACAAATAAATCTTTTTTTTTTTCTAATTGGTTTTCAAATTACAGGAGATGGTTAGTTTTGTTTTATAATTATTTTAATCATTGAAATTTCTTGGATTATCACTATGTATGATAGAATAATATTTGAGAATAATCATTAAAACAAAATTTTATTAATTAAAGTATTTTTTACTTTGAAACAGTCCTGCTTTTCTACTTTAATAATTATGAAAAACCATAACCATCAAAAGTGTGTAAAGATAAGAATATATCATTTACATATGTCTGCAAGGGGGCAGCATGTTACTACCAGTTAAAGTTTTGATATGTTAAATATATAATTACCATACACGTATGTAGCATATGATAAATTATGCATATGGATTAGAAAGATATACCTATCTAGCGAAGCGACCTAGTAAAATTCTCTTGGGCTGTGAGTTATGGCCACTAATTAAGCCAGTTTGTGTTATTGTGTTATGAAGCACAAAAGTATGGGCCCATGCACTGGTTATCTTTTTAGGGTTGTGACTGGGCAATGGTGATGCTTCCCACTTACAGTTCCTCTCCTTTTTCTTGCCATTCTTTATTTCTCTCTTCTTTTAACAAACACCCACTCACTCTCTCACCAAATTTGTGCTCAAAATACTCGAGAAGCGTTGTAGCGGTCAGCATGAACATTGGTCCACAGTGAATGGCTCAGTGTGAATGAAGCCTAAGTGTGTCTTTATTTTTTTAAAGAAACCATGCATGCTCTTTCGAAAAGTGAGTATAAACAGATTCCCCCGAGACCTTTACAAATTCAAATGTATTAGAATCAACTTGCTTTCCTAGAGAACTTCATACATGGTTCCAATTGTAAAAGTGTGGTTTTATGGCATAAGCAATATAGAATCAATTCGCAGGATTTTGCCAAAGGCTGCCACGGCTGAGCATGCTTTTAAAAAGAATCAGCATCTGATGGGCAATTTTAAATACACAAGAAATAAAAGTCATATAAATAGAGATCAGAAGTGGAGCTATTTTCGTGACAATTGACACTAGAAATCATCTTCACAGAAGAATAATTCACTTGAAGCAATCAAAGCACGTAATTTACTTGCATTTTCTATGTAATATAATTTTCAATAATCACTAACTCGAGAGAAAAATAAAATGAACTATAAAGGTAAAATAAACCAGATCTTCACCTAAGTTAAAAAAATTTATGCTTCTCAATTTTTTTAAAAGAATTTTTGCGTATAATTTTTCCATAAACACTTACATAAAAATTTATAAGGGACTTTTTCATGTTTAAAATAAAAATATTTATCTCAATATCTATCTATCTATATCATATTAAATTTACGATAAGGGACTTTTTTAACTTACAAAAATTATTTATAATTTTTTTTACTTATATCAATAAATTTCGCAATAATCACTCTTATATCATATCATAAAATTATGAATTATTTAATTATACTTGTTTTTATTGTTGCTTTATTTTTATAACATTTGATACAAACTAAAGTAAAGTAATATATATAAAAATATAAAATTCATTAATACTTAAATAGATAAAATGGATAAAGTTGTTCAGTCTTTCATTAGTATAAATCGTTTATACGTGTACGTGACTAATAGGTGGGCAGTTTGTCATTTTCCTTATTCCCACACTCTCAATGCTTTAGTTATAAAGGAATTCGTCCTGATCCATAGAAAAAAAAAATTGTTTTTTTTTTTGTTTTTGTTTTTGTGGCTGTCTAAAATATATTGAAGCGTGCAGCAAATTATAGGAAGGGAATGAGTGTAGCCTCTTAAAAAGAGTGTATGCCTTCATAAGATAATCCATACAGGTAAGCCACTAAGTTCATAGTGGGTTGAAGATGATGATGGGTCATTGGGTCTCAATGTGGAAGCCATGTGATGTTGTGTCTTGGCATATAATATGTTTACTGTTTTCGTTGTGAAGACAAAATGAAAAGATGAAAAAATTCAAGGACCTTTTCTAAATGACACCAGAATTATGAACCTTTGAAGCCAAGTAAAACTATTCAATATTGGCATATAGAGGCACATAGGCAAAAATCAATGCTTAAAAAGTTATTTAACATTGATTTCCTTTAGATTATTTATTTGTTCTCTTATAGTGCATCGCGTTATGGATGTCAAAAAGTTACAAGAAGCAATAATTATATAGAGGAAACGCACCAATCCAACTAGTAAATGTTGACACAAAACTTTCCTGGACCTGCTCAACACTATTGAAGTGCCAATGGCACCACATATATGCAGGCCTTTTGTCAAAACATTTGACAATTTAGACTTTCAAGCCCCAAGCAATGATGTCCTTGAAAAGAAAACCAACTATTGAGTTTTCAATCACTGTCATATATATTTAATGACTTATTATGAAATTTGAACAAGAATTTTATGGATAACTGGATATAGTCATACAGACCCACATATCATACATATGCAGAAGTAATAAAATTGTAGAAGTTATATGGTTTTTAACTATGTAACTAAGTATAAAAATAATTATACTTGACCACATTAAGATGTTATTTCATGCTTGTACAAAATAATATTATACTCTTAGTTTAACAGGATTTTTGTGATTTTTTTTCTTGTAACGTCCATTATTATATTTGAGTATTTGACATTTTAAGCATAGAAAAAAAAATCAGATTAAAAGTTTGGATAAACACCACATAAAGTAGCATAATACACATTTATTTATTCTTCTAGTCATCGTCACATTGATCCGGTTGTAATTAGGATACATGTCATAATGATAAATTGAATTATAATTATCCAACTAAACATTAACAAAAAAAATATTTAATCATTTTTTAAGAGAATAAAGACCTAAATAAAAAAAATTATAAGGATTTAAATCATCCTTTAAGATATTTGCAGGGATAAAAAAAATATAGGTAATAATTTAATAAAGTAATTATTGGCATTTTTAAATATTTATTATCATTATTTTTTCTGCAAAATAATTTTACTATTAATATGATTAAAAGAAAGAGGAAAAAAAATTAAAAATCATTTAAAAGAGAATTATTATAAATATCTAAAAACAACAATAAGCACACCCATAACTAAAATATATATGACAAGCTTAAGTTAATTCGTCGTTATCCAACTTAACATTATTTAATAAAAAGTCACTTTACACCAAGAGCTAAAATCATTCGTTTTTAAATGACTAGAAACCTAAACCTAACAAAAGATAAAAACTGAAATCAATATTTAAAATATTCATCGGGACTGCAATCTTATTTAATCACAAAAAAAAAGTGTTTTCTACATGTTTTACAATCCACAACATGTAATTCCTAACAATTATATTTGTATACGTGGTCGGTTTCAATTTAATAAAAGTATAAAAACCAATTCTCTTACCTTTTTTTTTTAAAATTAGCATTTTGTCTCATATAATTTAGAAATAAAAAGTCTAAATTAAAAAAATATAATTAATATTTACATATCTAGAATTGCTCGAGTTTCCGGGATGAGATTCAAGGAAATAAAGGAATCAATGCAATTAAAATAATTTTCTGTTTATCTCCTTACGCATTATTTAATCATCTTATATGTAGGATAATCAAGACATTCAAGGCATTAAGGTAATTTTTATTCACAAGTTTATATTTTATTTAATCATGTTATATATGTCAAAATCTCATTTATTTATCTTATACTATTATGTAATTTTTTTTATCAATGGGCTCTACGTCGTGTGGCCTAATCATTCTTTTTTCCTTCAATTATTAAGTGTTATGCTTAATAAGATTATAATTATGCTTAAATTATTTATTTTCACATTGAAATTTTTTGAAGTTAAACACTTTTTTATGAATTATATATATATATATTATAACTATAGTTAAAGAAATTAGTTAAAACATATTCAAATGTTAAATATAAATTAACCAGTATAGTGTAGGGGTAATCACAAATAATACATTATTATAAATAGATAGATATGTTCCTTTTTTTTTATCTTTTGGAAAACAATAAAGTTAAAGGGTCATTGTAATTGCAAAAGGCATGTGACGAATACATATCATCTTTGTAATGGGGTAACATATCTTTGACCGTCTTAAACCCACAAAGATCCTGTCCCAATTGTCACTTTTCAATATCTGCTGTTTTATTCCATAGCCTTTTAATATATGATTTTTTTAAAAACCGGAATTTTTAATTTTTGTTTTTGATAATTTTATTATTATTATAATATAGCAACATATTTTTGTAATGATAAACAGATTTGCAGATTGGGTAACTTGCTTTACTCATTAGTGATAACTTGGAGCTTCATTTTACAGGATCTTGTTAGACCGACAAATACTTATGCTTGGCTGCTTCTGGATGTCTTTGAATGGGGGTTAGGGTACTCCACCATTTAACTTTCTAGTCTGGGCCATGGCTCATACAGTGTGGCCCAAAAGAAAGAGGCCATTATCACTTGTCATTCTCTCTTTGGAGTACAATTTTTTTAACTCACTCTTTTTATCACAATTTTAATTATTCATTAAAATTTATTAAAAACTATAATTTTCACTTATAATTTAATATTTTTCTTTTATACTTTTATAATTTTTATTGTGTTAAATTCTTTTAAAACTAATTGACAAGTTACTTTAAAAATTAATTTCTAAAAATAACAAAAAAATGTGGGAAGTACAAATAAAAAACATAGGGGCATGAAAAGAACACGCCATTAAATGTAGCATATGCACTGCTTTGACATTCTAACCTGCGCGACCCAATAAAAAGACATTCTAACCTGGAACATTTAATTTTTCAGTGCCACTAATTGCAGGATTTGTTTTGGATGAGTAACATATATTTGTAAATTGTAAGATGGTTGAGCAGTTAGCCCTATGATTCTTTTTATCCTTCTCTCGATCTGTTATACACAAATGCGAAATTTACAGATTTAATGCAAAATTCAGTCACAGATTGTGATTTGTCACTTGAAAGTGGTACTCAACGTTACCAGAATAAAATTCGATTTCCATTTGGCTCTACTTCACTACAATACTTTGGATTTGGAATAATGAAAATGAACGTTGGAGAAGAATGTGATGCTCTATTTATTCATCATAATCCCACACCTACACGAGTACACCCCTACAGCCTTACACAAAAAAGTGCACTAAATGAACGGCGATTTCGACCTTAAGCAAAGAATCTTCTTTATACTTTGTCTAAGATAGAAAAATAAGTGCAGCATCTAAACATTCTTCCACAAAATCTTGTATCTTTTCTATAGAAGAAAACAGGAAAGAAAGGCATTGATTGCATGGTAACCTTGGATTACCTTAAATATTTTGATAATCATACAACTCTTTTGGATGCTACTAATTCACAACATCATTATGTTACATTGAAACATCCGAAAGAATATAGTTGCTGCAAGAATAATTAGCTATTGTGAAGTGGGAACATAACAAGTGTCATCAGCAACGAGGGATCACAACATGGTTCGCAGAATGGCAAGCCTTCCTCGAAGCATAATGGGTAGCATTTCAAGGGCAATGGGGGATGGTATGGGGTTTGTGGGCATAGGTAGAAGAAGAAATCAGCATACAAATATTCCATTACAGCCTCAAGTTCTTTCACAGCCACATGGTCATCATCAACTAGTAGTTCCTGAGGAATGGGCTTTTCTAGAGTGTTTTGAGCAGCAATATGGCACCAAACATCCTTTCTTTTATGCTTTTCGTTTCTCGGAAGCAATGAAGTTAGCAGAGAAAGATCACAAGTTCGTATTTATGTATCTTCATTCACCTGATCACCCTTTTGCTAACGTTTTCTGCAAGGAAACCCTGTGTTCAGAGTTCGTGTCCCAGTTTCTTGATGTGAATTTTGTTTGTTGGGGGGCACTTGCAGATAGAGGAGATGGCTTGCAAATGGTTGCAACGCTAAGCCCTGGTAGCTTTCCCTGTTGTGCTGTCATAGCACCCGCTCCTGGTGATAGCATAGCAGTGTTGCAACAGGTTGGGATTGATAACTCACTCACATTTTGTGCCTTTTGTTCTGTTATGGATGATTCTTAATGCCTTAAATATGCATAGATTTTTTTAGAAATGTGTTTATTAGCTATTTTTACGTTGCTGTATTTATTTTTTCTTTTGTAGTAAAAAATTTAAGGTGACGAAATGATGCCTAATCTTCAAGCTCAAATAACACTTAGAAAGGAGTTACATTTATTTCACCCAGGGAAGATAAGGGAAAGATCAAACCTAAACCTTTGTCTTAATCAAGATATAACTTAAAAAAAATTTATACTCTTCAAGTTTTTAAAAAAATAACGAGAAAACTTATGAAAAAAATAGAAAAACATAAGTTAATTTTAACTTATTTAAGGATTTTATTTTATTTTAATACTTAATTTTTGACACTTAAAAAAATTATCGAGAAATTCTTTCAAATTGTTCCTTAATCAATCGTTTGGATTATGTTGTCATAGTGGTTGTGATGAAATTATGCTAATTCATGAGTGCATGAAAAACTCTAGATGTTGCTGTGTTATACTCATTTTCATTTTTCTTTTCAGCTAGAGGGACCTCTTTCACCAGCTGAGCTAGTGGAGATTCTACAAAGAACATTGGAAGAACAAGGGGTGGCTTTTGGAAGTGCTAAAGCTAAGCAGGAAGCAAAGATCCAAGCAGACCGTAGGCTCAGAGAAGAACAAGACGCTGCATATCTTGCAGCTTTGCAAATAGACAAGGTGTGTACCTCTCCACACTCCAGATTTTAACTACTAATTTAAGCTCGATCTAAATATACTTATATTTTTATTCCTTTAATAAGAACAATAGTTAACTAACACTCCTTGCTAAATATAGGAAAAAGACAAGCTCCATAATTTACCTTCAAGAGAGTTAGTTCAGAAGCCAGTGGTAGCTCAAAACACCACAAATTATGGGAAGATGGGGAACAATTCTATTAAAGTCAGTAAACAGCGTAGCAAAGTGAATGAATCTACTAGTGAAAAACAAGACAAAGGAAATGCAAATAGAGGAAGCGAGTCTCAATCCACACAGGTACGTATACTAAATTTCTATACATGTCAAAGTTTGTAGCTTGTGTTGAACCTAACTATGCAAATTTTCCTTATTCAGATACTCATAAGGTTTCCAAACGGTGAAAGAAGAGAACATACTTTCCTTTACACAGACAAAATCCAGTCCATTTTCTCATACATTGATTCATTAGGTTTGCCAGGGATTGGAAACTACAGATTGATATCAAACTTCCCAAGAAGAGCCTATGGGGTTGATCAAATGAGAATGACTCTTAAAGATGCTGGCTTGTATCCTAAAGCTAGCATGTTCCTTGAGCCTTTGTGAACCAAATTCCCATAACCATCTTTGGATGCACGTGTTATTTGGTTACCTAAATTTGAATTTGAATTAATCAAAATAAAAGGGGAAAAAAATCGTTGTGTAGACTTCACTTGAACTCTTAAACTAATTAAGATTTTAGTGCATCTTTAAAACAACTTCTGGACTTGCTTTGCAGATGATAATTTCCTGACCATTTCAGCTGTTGTTCTAGCTCACAAGGAAATGCATAATTGCTCTGCCGTATCCAAATTCTGAATGCATGGATAAATTGTTTGGATATCTAATAGCAAATGAAATGGAATGAAATGAAATATAATACAAGAAAATATAGTAGAATACAATGGAATGAAATAAATTATATATTCATTCCATTTTTAGATATATTATAATTTGATAACAACTTATTTTAGTTCCAATCACCTATCCCCTGAATTGAGAGGGAATGGAAATTAGAGTTTTGAATATAATAATGTATACTATTTCATTGCATTTTAATTTAATAAATATAAACAAAAGAACATATTAAAAGTTCCCCCCAATCTAAACATAGCCCTAATACATTCAGTATTTGGCTATTGTCCAAATTACAATTTGTTTTTTTTTTTTTTTGCGACTTTTTACTTATTGGCCGAACTGATCAGCTTATTCATAACTTTGGTTTCCAATAAACATGCTATATAATCTAAGAAAGTGAATGCTCTTTCATTTACAGGTTCCTATTCTACTAAAGAAAATAACTAGTTTGAAAATCAAGTAAAACATAAATGACTAGATGTGAAACAAATATTCGTCAAAGAACAAAACTTATAAATATGACTTTTTTCTAATTTTTTTATAAGACATATTCTATTAAATTTTAGTGATGCTTTTTAAAAAAAATACTTTATAACCTTTATAAGATTATTATTATTTTATTTATTCTTAATAAATAAAGTATGTAAAAACTGAAATCAAAACTAACAAAAATAAATGTTGATAATAGATTAAGTTCAATAATATGAAATGAGATGAAATTATTATCTTATAATATTTTTAAAATTAAGAAGTTAATTTAACTTTATTATTTTTTAATAATTTAATTGAAGACACCTTAAATAAAAAGTGAGAGAAAATAATATCAAAGTTTTTTTTTTATTTTAAATTTTAAAATATTTAATTATCTTATAATAATAAATTTTAATAAAAATTATTATATTTTTTTTAACTCTAATATAATAAATAGAAACTAATTATATTTAGATTTTTAAATTTAACTTTAAAACAAGGCTTTTATTTTCTGACTGATTTATTTTTTTAATATTTTTTAAAAAAAAAATTCTTAAAATAATATTTTTTTACAATATATTCTCTATTTGAAGTTTTTTTTGTTAGTGACTGTTTTGTCTACTGTTTCAATAAAATATATATTTTTATTGTTTTTTAAACTATATTTTGTTTTCAGCAGAGATAAAATTATCTGATTGCACTATGTGTCATCATCTGGTGAGTTTCATCTGCTTGAGTCAATTTATAAAATTAGTTTAAAAACAACTCTAATATTTAATTAAAATATATTAAAAATAAAAAATTATAATATTTAATTCAAGAATAAATTATTAAAATTTACATAATTTTTAATTAAATTAATTAATAATTACAAATATATCAAAAAGGAAAAAGATCTTCTTATGCTAGTGTAAGTTTAAAAACTCTTACACTCAATATGAGTCTTATATTTAACTTAAATTTAATAGTAAGTAAAGTAATAAATTATAACCCGTTAAATTTAAATTAAATAAAAGACTCAGATGAAATGTAAGAATTTTTAAACTTATACAAAATTATATTTTTATTAAAAATATATATTAAAAAAATATAATATTAAAATTTTGTTAACTTTAGTTTAAATATCTATAAATAAAAAATTATAAAAATATATATTCTATCATATTTAAACTAGTTTAAAAAATATATAATATATTTTAAAATAATAAATACTTTTAAATTTATAATTTTGTTAGTATATTTTTTTGTTCTTTTGTAATCTACACCATGTAATCTCAATATATATTTTTAATATATTTATAGTTATTAATTAAAATTATATAATTTTTTACAGAATGTACACTGAAATAGTGAAATTTCCCGGAAAATGGGGGAAGGGGAACTTGAAACTTGCAGGGTCCCTCGATCAATCTCGATCTCAAGTTCAGACTCTCCAGTGAGTGAGTTTGAGTTTAATCAAGTTTATCACCTCAGTCTCAAGGTAAATCTGAACTACAACTAGTAAAGTAAATCTGAACCTTGTTTCAACAATTCATTAATAAGAGAAGGGGTTTCCTATGGCTATTGCATCATTTTTCTAATGCAAGTCCCCAAATCCCCTTCCAAAGATAAACGATTCGCTAACCATAAATGGCTCCTAAAATTCGGTTTACTCATTTTGGTTATGCTGCTTTTGTTATTGCCTTTTTATCTCGAGTCAGATAACGCTAATACTCGTAATCCACTCATTGCGTCGTCGTATTACACTGTGGTTATAGATTGTGGAAGCACTGGCACACGGGTGAATGTGTACGAGTGGAAAGTAGGGGTAGAGGGTGTAGGTAAAGGGAACTTGCCAATTTTACTGCATTCTTATCCTGATAACACAACCAAGACTTCCCTTTGGAAAACTTCTTGTCAATATCACTGTATGCAAACCGATCCCGGGTTAGACAACTTTGTTAATGATTCTTTAGGAGTTAGAGAGGCTTTGGAGCCTTTGGTTGTGTGGGCAGAACATCTTGTGCCGCGTGAAATGCACGGTGACACTCCTGTTTTTGTTCTGGCTACTGCTGGCCTGAGGAGGCTCCCCCGGGACGATGCCGATCGAGTCCTGGGAGATGTTGAGGCTGTTGTGAAAGATCACTCCTTTATGTTTAGCAAGAGCTGGATAAGGGTTTTGAGTGGGAGGGAGGAAGCTTATTATGGTTGGGTGGCTTTGAATTACAAAATGGGCAGCTTTGATAACTATTCTGTGTCTCCCACTTTGGGAATTATTGATTTGGGTGGCTCTTCGCTGCAAATTGTGGCAGAGATCGATGATGGTGCCGCCAGGAATGATGTGCACGTGATGAGATCGAAGCTCAACTCAATAGAGTCTCGGATTGTGGCATACTCGTTGCCGGCATTTGGCTTAAATGAAGCATTTGATAGGACAGTTCTTATGCTCAGAAACAATCAAAGCGTGGAAAGAACCAGAAGTGTCTTTGAGGTTAGACATCCTTGTCTGGTGTCAACTTTTGTACAAAACTATACATGCCATTCTTGCTCTATATTTGATTCCACTTATCAGAAAAATCATAGTCAACCCCAAAGTAGTGAACCTTATTCTTTACATCTTATTGGAGAACCTGATTGGGAGCAATGCAAAGAACTAGCTATTGCTGCTGCTATGAACTTGAGCAATTCCGAAGTGTCACATCCAACAGTTAGCAAAAATTGCCAAGCTAGTTCATTTTCTGGTAGTGGTAAGGGTATTCATTTATTTGCAGTTTGTAAGTTTTTACTTTATTTATTTAGGCCTTACTTAGTCTTAATAATTTTTTCTCTCAGCCTTCTCGAGTCTGTTGAATATATATGCTAACTGAAAATTATAATTATCTCAGAAAGGAAATGTTGGATGAAGTTATTGCTGACCAAAGTAAAGAGTGTGTAGTTTGGTTTATATCTGGTGGCTATATGTAGTTACTTTCATCTTCTCAACCTCTCACTCATTCTACACTACCCTTCCTCATAAAATCATTGAAGTAAAAATAGATCAAACATTAAGGATACACCATCCCATCCAACCCATGATGATATTGAAAAATTCACTTCTAAAATGTTGATAATGTGGAACTATTTTACTTTTGATTATCATGATTAGCATGCAGTCCATTTTGTCTTTGTGGTATAGGTTAATTTTGCTCTATCCTAGCTACCAGACAGCCAAAAGAACATGGAAGAGGGAGGGGTTGTTATGGGTATTGTTTCAATGTCGTGCTTTAGGAACGAACTCAGTTTCATTATGTACCTGGCAGGCACTGGTATACTTAATTTAACAGCTGTTGCACAGCCAATCAAGCGCTTTCATGCTTTATCTGGTTTCTATTTTGTCCACAATAAGCTAAATTTAAGTCCAAGGGCGAACTTAACAATAGTTTGGGAGTCAGGCAGGCAAATATGTTCAAGTTTATGGTCTGGGTGGAGCAGTTTTTCTGACAATCCAAATTATGCCGGACAATTTTGTTTCCGAGTGGCTTACATGGCATCATTGATTGAATATGGTCTGTGTCTTGGCAATGTAGAAATGGTATTTGGTCCAGGTGACGTTTCATGGACATTAGGAGCTGCATTGATTGAAGGGAAATTTCTATGGTTAAATAGTACAACTACAAGCCGCAAAGCCCAGACTATTATTTTAACTTTGAAGAATGTCAAGGTTTTGTCTTCTCCAGCTTTTCTCTTTGCTGTACTTCTATTGCTTTTATTGATTGTTTATTATAGTCAGATTAAGCTACCAATGCCAAGCAGGAGGGCTTCTGCTCCTGGCTCATCTTTGCCATCTTATATTCATGTAAGACACCGATCTAACTAATAATGTTTCAGTGTTCTATCTTTCCTTTGCATAAATTCATTTTGGAAGAACATGATACTGAAGGTTTTAGAAATCAATGTTTATTTACTTGGCTCACTCAATTTTTAAAACCCTTTACCAGTAGGAAACTAACTTTTGTCCCTGAAGTATTTAGGTGCCAATGGCCCAAATATTAATGAAAAGTAGTTGAGGATTGTCATGTATTCGATGTAGCACCTTCAGTTCATATAATCTGAAGCAAAATATCCGCGTACCTAAAAGTTATCTGAGTTTTATCTTGGGCAATTTCAGAAATTAAAGATATGGCTTTAGAAGTTGAAAATGAGAGGTGTCATAGTATGAAAATTTGTCGATGATTCAGTGCTTGTACAATCTTAACTTCGATATTAGTAACTTACCCTATTTGTACAAATTATTTTTGAACATCAAACATGTAAGAAAGAACGGACGTACGTATTTGAAAGTCTTTTAGGAGGATTCAAATATTCAATATTGTAGTATAATTACTATAAACATTTTTGGTTCCTTTACCGATAATTCCTTGCTCTTTGTTTTTTCTTTTCCATTTTATTTGTTTTTATTATGGGTTAGCTGGTGGATCTTGGGACTAAGTGGAGGATAACTGGCCACTGATCCTTTACTCCGAGTAGAGTTAGCTTTAAAGTAACCTATATGGAAGATAGAAATCCAAAGAAACTTATGTCTTCTAGTCGTTGATTGTAGTTGAAGACATTTAATTGGTCATAATAACTATAAATGGATGAAGATTTATTAGTGAAAGAGATGTCAACAACACTCTTTCTAACGTACTTAGTTTCACACACTATTATTTTTATTCTTATTTATTTATTTATGCAGAAAGAAGAAGAAAGTATTTATTCCTATTTATTTGTTTAGGTAAAAATTTAAATTAATATAACAACAGTCAAGTATTATGATATCACAATGGAAAGTCAATTATATAAATCACACAAAGTTATAGAGTTTGGTTAAAAATTAATTTTGTATATATTATTTATTATAATATTATTTAAGTAATTTTACTTTAAAAATTTAAATTAATATTAACCATTATTTTACTATTAATATTCTTCTTCTACGTAGAAATTTTAATTACAATAAATAAAGTATTTATGTTGTTTAAGTAATTCAAAAGTGAAAGAAAAATCTACTAATCAATGATAAATTAAGAAGTTCATTAAATATTTTTAATAAAATCTTTTTAACCACTTCTTATGAGGTAATATGTTATACTCTTAAGGCCAAGTTTAGTGTGTGCTTCAGAATTTACTCAAAAATTATTATTATTTACTTAAATTTAATCTTAAGAATTAAGGTTAAGAATTAAATTTTTTATTTTCAAACAATAAGACGTGTGAAGAATCCATTTATTATATTTAATAAGAATAGATTAGAGATATTTTTAAAACTAAAAAAACACGGCAAACTATTAAAATTCAGACATACTATCTTTATTGATATAATAAATCAAAATTTAAAAATAAAAAATATATTAAATTAATTAATATTATACTAATATTAAATTTTACTTTATTTTAAGAATATATATTTAATTTGATATAGCATATAAAGATTTAAAATTAAAATTAATAAATAAAATTTGAAAAGAATAAAATTACAGATAAAAATTAATTAATTACTCAATACATAAGATACATGATTTAATGAAGACGAAATTAATTGTTAAAAATATTCTCATTCAAAAATAATAACTTAAATTTATGATTAAATAATAGATAGGAATGGGTTTTTTTTTTCATTTATAAAATACTTCTACGAAATATATTTTAACTTTTATTATTTTTAAAAATCCCCATGCTTTCATGGCTAATTTATTTACAATAAATCAGTTAATAGCCGGTGAAGCAACCTAAAAATTGTGAAGCCACCCCACCCCAGCCGAACGTAGTACTTGTAGGAATAGAATAGAGTTGAAGGATGTATATAAAATTTAGGAGAAAATATGAAGAATTTATTAAAATAAAGTCACGTCATCTTTACTGATAAAGTGAATCAAATTTTTAGAATAAATCGGTTAATAACCACTAGAGCAACCTAAAAAATGGGAAGTCACCCCACCATATTTTTAGGAATAGGATAGAGTTCAAAATGAAAATAATTAAAATACTATAGAGAAATTTATGAATATTTATTGAAATCAAAACACATTATTAATAAAGTTGAACAAAGATTTTAAAATTAAAATAATAATTATTTTCAAATTGAATTTATTAAAAATATTTTAATTTGATAGATTATATTAAAAAATACTAAAATTGAATTGAATTAAGTAATATTTAAAAATAAAAATAATTGCTCAATATTAAAGAAATTATGCAGTTTGATAAAAAAAAAATGAAAATGAAACTTAAAAATATTCATTAGAAAAATAAATTTAATCTATAATATTGAGGGTGGATACGGAATAGGGTGAATTTTTATTATTTATAAACAACTTTTTGATGTATATAAAAAATACAAGAAAAATTTATATATAATACATTTTATTATACATTATATAATTCAATGCATTGATAATGTCAAATATTATGATTGTTAATAAAATTATCATATATTAAATTTTTATTATATACTTTATAGAAACAAATTTATAAAATACGAAATAATTTATAATGTTTATTGTTTTTAAATACCCGATGCTACTATGACTAGTTAATTCTCACTAAACTGTTGTGAACGCTGAATAGGATAGAGTTGAAAGAAGCAGTTGCAGAATGGCGCTGGTACGTTCTCTCTATCCTACCATCGCTCTTCCTCTTTCAACCCTTTCCGTTACGACCAATTTCTCTGTTCGATGCTCCAATCTTCACCCGCAACCGCAAATGGACTCACGCAAGGTAACCAACAACTTCACCATTTTCCATTCACCACATTGCAATTGGACCTTTTTATACTTTGTTCAATCAATTTGTGAATTTTTTTTTTCTTTTGGTCTCTTAAAATTTTTTGCAGTTAGTCCTTGCAGTGAAGGACAAGCTTGAAAAAGATCACCATAGCCTCCCTGTTGGTAGAAATGGAAGGGATGACGAAGATATGATACTGTGGTTTCTCAAAGATCGCAAGTTCTCTGTTGAAGAAGCTGTTTCCAAGCTGACTAAAGCCATCGTATCCTTCTTTTCTTAATAACTATATCATTACGAAATTTACAACCATAATTAGAGTTTGCTTGTCTGAGGAGGTGTGTGAAAGGAAAAATGTTATCAACACTCCCAAACAATTTTTTCAAATACATTTTTTGTTATTGGCTGAAATATGTTGAAAATGAAAAAATTGCTTGATCTCGCTCCTAATTTAAGAAGTCTCACTTATGATTTTGTAATTAATAAATTTCAACTAACAATAAAAGGTGTGTTAGAAAGAGTGTGTTACTAGTACTCCCTTGTCTTCTTTCACATGCAATCAATCATATTCCTGTTAATTAAATTAATTTTCATTCAAAATTTTCAACCACCTGCTCAACCAACCACACTCTCCTTGCTTTGAGATTTTCACATACTTGTTATTTTTCCTTCTACTCTATAAGAAATGGCGTCAAGATTTTGAGGTGTCTAAATTGACTGAAGAAGTCGTTAACGAGGTTGCTCAAACTGGAAAAGCTTATGTACATGACTTCCTAGACATCAATGACAGACCTGTGCTTGTGGTGGTCGCATCAAAGCATTTTCCTGAAGTAAGAATAGAAGTTGTGCTAATAAATGTTTTAATACTTTATATTGCTCATTATTTTTATGTTCTTTGAAACAATCGAAGAAAATGTAAGTGTGGTTATTTGCATGCGGCCAAAAATTGCTTTGTAGTAAAGGATGGACACGTGCTTCAATTAATATTTTGTAATTTATAATTTTTCCTTGGTAATTTGTTTGGTTAACAACTTATCTATCATGCTTCCACTCTTTCTACTCTCCCATAATTTGTTATACATTGTCCATTATTTCTTCTAGCCTTTCATCACTTGTAATTGACTCTGCTATTGCATCATAGATCTTAAATTTGGGGAATGTGATTGCCCAATTTTGCATACAAATGTCTGGTAGCAAGTATTTGCACCTTGATTTCAGTTGGCACAACTGAGTTCAATCCTCCTACATTGTCTGTAATCCATACTGCAGTTGCATTTATTAATTTGTGGATGTGTTTTGTATATAACCCAACTTCACATGAACTTCGGAAAATTGTCTGTGACTATATGGATAAAAAATTGTATCACAGGCACACGACCCTGCAGCCGATGAGAGGCTGTGTGTTTTCCTAATTGAGAAGGCATTAAGTAAGCTTCCAACTGGGAAAGAACAGATACTTGGAATAGTTGATCTCAAAGGTTTTGGTACAGAAAATGCTGATCTTAAATTCTTGACATTCTTGGTAATATTTTTTACCATCTTCCAAATATCATTTAATAGAGATGTTTGTTTGTGAACTATAGTGCCCCACTAGAAAGAAATTGTACAAAAATCATTGCTAAAACTAACATATTTCTTTACTTTTGGCAGTTTGATGTATTCTATTATTACTATCCAAAGCGATTGGGTCAAGTATTATTTGTGGATGCACCTTTTGTGTTTAAGCCAATTTGGCAGCTAGTCAAACCCTTGTTAAAATCATATGCTTCTCTGGTAAGTGTTGCTCATTTTAAATGTTCATTTATTTGTATAAGAGAAAAGAGGTATTTTTCCCTTTACAACGAAGGCTTGCTTTAATATGCCTGTTTTATTTCTTACATATCCCACCTGAATTACACACAATTTCTCTCTGCTTCTTTCTATTTTCATCTCTCACTGGCAAGGGTGCTCAAGATATTGGGGATTGTTAAAGATCTCTTTATTGTTTGATTAGGTTACTAATAGTTCTAATAGTTTGTATTCAAGTCTCAAGACTTAACTGTGTCCAAGATCACAGAAATAGGAAGTAATTGCCTGCTGAAGGATAGCCCTAGTGGTGGTAGCTGACCATGCTTTTCACCTTCTGAATCTGAGGTTAAGGGTTCAAGTTAGAGCTTCCCCATTAGGCTCAGGTGGTTCCATGTCATTATAAATTTATAATCAAGGGAGCCAGGGACAACGATCCCATCCATGAGTTCCCTCTTTTCTTTGAGATGGGGAGCACATTACTTGCTTTACTTTGTGATTAAGTCAATTAGCATAATGTTTTACATTTGGCTGATACGATATTGGTCATAGGATGGTTGGTTCATATTTTGAAGTGGAACAAAACCATAATGATTCATTTCAGCTCTGTTTGTTTTAGATATTAAGTCTTCGTGCTGCCCTTTTACATTTACAGGTGAGATTTTGCTCTGCGGAGGATGTTAGGAAGGAATATTTTACAGACAAAACTTTGCCTCCAAGATTCAGAGATTGAAAGGGCTTTTTGATAAAGAATTATTTTTTGACAATATAAAAATTGCAGGCATTTGACTTGGACTTCCAAAGACAAATCAATATATGGATCTGACACGAGTAACGCGACAGCAAACACAACATTTATTTAGTAGGGCAATAGAAAAAAAAAGTAGCTTCACACTTTTATTAAGAGCTAAAGAGAATCCTTTAAGGAATTAGAAGAACAATGCCGGTATAGCATCCCATTTCCCTGTTTCTTCTTTTGCATAATATGCAGAAATATGAGAGAAATAATGCTGGAGATTGGAGAATTTTGTTAGTGGGTTGACATAGTCCTCAGCTCCTGTTAAGAATAATACCATGCAATTATAAATAGACCAGTTCATGTACCGAGACGACAGGTCTTGTGTCTGCCATTCGAGGAGCAAGAATTCACAATTTTCAATATGTAGTCCATGAAAAACAACATATCTGGTGTATTAAGTTGGCACTTGATACTTTGATCGAATTTGGTTACTGACAATGCTGAACATGTTGCACCAAAAATTGTTTTATAGTTTATAGTCATGTTGGAAGTGAAGCAATTTTAACTTCTAAGAACAACTAGTTTCCGAAATAAATATATTAAAAATTATTTGTGGAAGCAAAAAAACAAAGGAGAAGAAACAGGGACCAACCAAATTTTTATTGATTATCATCCATTGATGGATATGGTCGAGTCCGACCCGCCCTATAGACAAAGAAATAAGGGGCTGGCAAATGAAAGTGATTGTTTTTCTTTTCGAATTACAATTACATATATTTGCGGAAGCCAAGGAGCAAGGGCCCTATAACCTTGGAGACCTTCATGCACTCTACAAAGACAATATATGCCCTCCAGAAAAAGTAGTTCATTAAGAAACGCCAAAGCAAAATAATTTAAAATGAAAACTACAAATAAAGGAAATCTTAATAATGAGAACAAAAACAAAGGGAGAAAATCTTGACAATGTCCACTGCTTACTAGGAAAACAATCTTTAGAGCTTTCCTTATATGCATAATGCTTTCAGTTTGAGGTTCTTTTCTTTGATGAAAGCTGTCCACTCAACTTTAACTGGTTTATTATCAGCTCCGTGAAAGACAACATGTTGAGGTAACTTCTTACCGTAAGTGAGGAATGTTCCACCAGCCGCTACAGCTTTGACTACAGCTTCTGCTTGGTATCCATCACTGAAATTCAATCCTGCTGAAGGGCTCAGCTCTCTAACTAGACGCTGCATATACCTGGTTTCAGAAACCATTGTTGGGGGTTAGTTAAAAACTTAAATCTATGACAAAAAAGAAACCACTTATCATATATATCGCATTTGTATATTCATAGCTTTTGAAACATCAATGCTATTACGTCCTTAAATATTCACCATTTCTTATACAAACCTATAAAAGTAGGAAATAAAATAAAAATAAAAAATGACATTTTGTAATTAATAGTAAAAATGGAAACAGAAAAGGGAAATGTTTTGTCAAAACTGACAAGTCTGATCAATTTCAAAAAACGAATTTATCACAAGAAACAATTGCTTGATTGTAACCGGCAGCCACGAGAAAAGAAAACAGCATACCAGGTCTTTGTGTAACTTTCTGGTACAACAATATCTCCACCAAGTGCTTTTAATTCTTCAATGATATCAGGAGATCCCGGTTTGTCATCAATTATGCTTATGGTCTTATATTTCCGCTCTTTAGCACCCTGAATCACAAGCCTTCCAATTTCACTGTCCCCACAATTCTGCACCAGCGTTTCACCTATTTCACAGAATTTTACCATTCTAACCAAAAACATAATTTGTAAGGCAATAAGAGGACATATGAGTGTTCACCGTTTGCATTCAGCTCAACAAATATTTCCGCTCCCCATTTATTTTTTAACGTGTGTAGGTAGAATATACAGAAAAAAAACATTTTTAAAAAATTAAAAAGATTGATTGAACGTCACATGTAGAGTTTGTGAACATGACATGCTTTTTCATAAATACAACAAAGCAACAGTATGAAATAATGAATAGATATTAAGATAAATGAGTTTCTAAAGTGGGAGTGCAAATGAGATGGAAATACCAGGTTTCAAAGACAGGGAATTCAGAAGTGTGATAACGTTAATTCTGAGAGAAGCAACATTAGACGTTGACAATGACATGGATCGAACTCCGATCCGAAAAATCTCATTGCCATGCCCTCCCATCGATCGATCCAATAGTCCTGTTTCTTCCGGAACGAACAGATTTGGTTGTAAATGTAGAGCTGTATTGTTTTCCTCTTTATGCCATACTTGCACTATCACATGCACCACCTTTATTTCGTTTTAACGCTATCTCGTCAAACCAAACCTATTTTACTTCTTCCCAGAGTAACACAAAATAACCAAACAAAAAATAGAATCGAAGACAATGCTCTATTTTCATAAGAATACGAAAATAAATTTTAATTATTAAATTTTAGATATAATTTAAATATATAATTCATGTCAACTTTTCAATAGGTAAGTGATCCAAAAATTTTAAATTATGGATGGTTGTAAAATCTACATTTGCTATTTACATTTTTAATATATATGAAAAAGACATTTTTGGGCAATCATGATCGAGGTAGTCGTATTGTCCATGGAAGGCGATCCTTTTTGAGTTAAAGTAAGCATAATCCCGTTAAAATAATTCCGTGCCAGTTAATATATGTGTTCAACAATAACAATAGAAATTCTTACTAATACATTAATAATAATAATAAAATTTAAAGGTCTTATTAGACAAAATACTCATACACAAATTAAAGAATAAAAAATAATAATATTGAAAATTATGAAAATAAACAGTTGAATAATATTTTGTTGAAAAAATTGTTTTTAATTATTTAACTAATACTCCCACCGGTACAAAAGACTAAATTATTAAAATCAAGAAAAGTAATTAAGTATGTTTTATTTTTTATAAATATAAATTTTATTTTAAAAATACTCATAATATTAAATAATGTAGTTAGTAATTTATATATTTAATGATACTAATAAAAAAATATTAAAAAATTAATAATTAATGTATTTTAAATTTATTATTTATCTTTTATAATAAAGATTAAAAAAATATTTTATTTTATTTCTTATAAACAGGACATGCAGGAGTATTACTCAATTTGCATTTCCCTTGGTATCTAAGACAAATGTAACCATAAATGGCTTTACGTTATAGAAAAACCAATACAACTGCCTCAAAACGCAACGTCGTCCGTCCTCCATAAACGACAAAGCTGGGTTCACAGAAACTAGTTAATCAGTGAAAAACCAAGGCAGGGGCATAGAAGAGAGTGTGGGGGAAGAACGGAACGATGAAGAAGCGAAAGGCATTGAGCGTGGTGGTCAACGCGATGTGTTTGGTTATGGTTTGCAGTGCGATCGAATCTCCGCAATACACAGTTCTACACAGCGAGTCCGATTTCGAGATCAGGCTCTATCGAACCTCCGTTTGGATGTCCGCTCCTGCCCTCGACATATCCTTCGAGAAAGCCACATGGAACGGCTTCCATAGGTAATCAGTGAAAATCTCATGAACGAGTCATTTTCAATTTGTATTAACAAGTTTCGCTATTGTTTTGTAGGTTGTTCCAGTTCACAGAAGGTGCGAACCTGAATTTCTCTCGAATCCCGATGACCGCTCCGGTGTTGACGAGCATGGTCCCTGGGGCTGGGCCTCTTCAATCCCAAGGCTATTACGTTAGTTTGTACTTGCCTGTTAAGTTCCAAGCGAGTCCACCTGTTCCGCTTCCCGAACTCAATATTAAGCCCTATGAATTCACCATCCACTGCGTTGCGGTGAGAAAGTTTTCTGGTTTTGCCAAGGATAATAGGATTGTGAAAGAGGCGGAAAAACTTGCCACTAGTTTGAGTAGGTCTCCTTGGGCAGATTCAACTTCGTCCATCACTCAGCGTGCTTACTCAATTGCACAGTACAATACTCCGTTCCGAATTGTTAATCGCAAAAATGAGGTTTGGGTCGATATTCATGCTCCTGAATTGGGCTGTGAGTCGGTTGCTGTTTCTGCTTATTGATTTAGCATCTGTTTGAATCCCGTTTAAATTATTATGGATCAATGTGTATTTGTATTAAAAGCATAAGTTATAGCAAACATAGATCTGTGTTATTTTAAACGTGAATTCAAAAATGTAATTACTCTGTTGATTTGTTTATATTATGTAACTATTATGAAACGTGGACTTGCGTGTTTAGTGGTGTTTCTAGATGCATTATTTGTGGCTTCTTCCTTGTTCTTTTGGCTGTCCCAGAGCTGGTGGTTTGATAGACACCCCTACCATAGTTTCACGTCGTCAAATTTGACAAGTAAATATTTTGGTATCAATTTTCCGTGGATGGGATGGAAGTTTCCTTGTTTCTTTTGCTATTTTTTACTTCAATGATTTTAGAAGGGAGAGTTTTGGAGAATGAATGAGAAGTTGAGAAGATGAAACTGCACATTTCTTAGTCACCAAACCAAACTGTACATTTCTTAGTTCAATGGTTACTTCATCCAATTTTTGCTGTGCTGAAATTAATGTTATTATTTTTCTATTAACATGTGTACTACAGACTTAAAAGAATTCTAGGAGAAGAAAATATTATAAAAAGGAATAGTTTTTTAAAAGAAAATAAGAACTAAAATGTAACTTAATGATTATACACTCTAGGATTTGGATGACATTATCGTTATTTGAAGAGAATCTTGACCATTGATATGAAAAAATTGCTCATTTTAAAAGTAATAAATATAAAAATGGAATGAATGGTTAAGATTTCATTGGACTTGGTAAAGTTAAAATTTTCAATCTGAATCCTACTCTTTACCAGTACCAAATATTGAACTGCTTATCAATATTTCGCCCACTGTCGAATGTGGCACTTTGAAATTGCTCTAGTTCAAAGCAGCGGCAACATCATTATCGCGAATCAGATTGTCTAACAAGATGTAAAGAGGGAAGTTTTATGGAAATTGCTATGATGTTTGGATGAAAAATATCGTGAGTATTTGGAGTGTAATTTCGAGATGTGCGTGTGTAGGAAAAATGAAATGTAAGAGAAATAAAAATAATAAAATACAGTATCATATGTAATTATATATTGTGTGAAGTGAAATCAAATTCAAAATAAATGCTTCATTTAAGCCAAGTAAACACTCGACTGCCATTATCATCCGATGTTCAATTGAACTAAGCTTTGAAGTTTGATCTCATGACGTGCACATCTTCCCCTGCACGATTATACCACAATTTGCAATGACTGGTCAGGAGTCGCCCAAATCAGTAAGTCCCAAATCAGGGACACCCAATATACTTATCAGAATTGTCCATTTCGCATTTAAAGCCACCCAACCATATGCTTCATTCAAGCCTTTATCTAGCTCTGGGTAAACATGAAGTAGTGACCTCGACATCTCCTAAGACAGAGTTGCATTACATGATTTATATCTATATCCAGGGAGCCTCATTACAACAGGGTAGTAGCAGAGACAAAAATAGGTGTCATTGTGCATTTCACGAGGCAAACGCTTTTATGCCCACACAATCAAAGGATCGTAACAAATTTGTCTCACAGTGTGCATAAATATTGACGAGTTTTCCAAATTAAACTCTTGGTTACATTATCAAGATATGATGCAACTGGCAAGTTCGCCTACAATTAGCTCATGTCGTAGGTCCCATTCACCAACGAAACTTCCACAACCACAATGCAATACAAAAAAAAGGATCAAGTGTAGTACAATCTTTCCTTTTATCTAACTCTCGATTGTCACAATCCAAAATACGCGCTATAATCGTATAATCTAATCAAACAATAATACTACTTACTTTGACAAACCTAACTGGCACACTTAATTATACTTTTAATTTTGTCAAAGTTATATTATTCACTAAACAAAGTAGAGATATAAACAGCATCATCAAAACACAATATGCATGTATTCTTCTCTTCTGATCATAAAGGATTTAACACAACTAAAATATGTTCAAAGCTCTCCTTATAATTGTATAATGCTAAACGTCTCCAAAACAAGTAGAGAAGGACTGCTAAAATAATAGAAATCTGTCAAAGAAATTAAGGATCCTAACTCACATATACTCGTAAGTCATTTATCTAATGATATGAAAACAAATAGATAAATGAATAAAAAATAATAATCACGTGAATTCAATGAAGGCATAACAACTATAATGAATAAAAAAACACAAAAACATACAAATATTTATTCTTGTAAATTCTCTAAAAACAATAAACGTGCAAATTACCATTTCAAAAGGAATATTTTAACATTTTACAGTTCTTTAAAAGTAGAAATAAAAATGTCAAATAACCATATGTAGAAAATATATAATTTTTTGTATAAATAAGGATACGGATAAAACTTTTTCGCAACTCCATTCAACAGATTTTTTTTTTTCTTTTCTCTCAAGTAATGTTAATCATGTCATGTAATCTCTTCATCTCGTTGATAATCCTATCTCTTTTTTGAAAGTAATTTCTCTTCGACTATGGATAATCAACTGTGGATAATTGATAATGGATAACATGCCCTCAAATATAATGTTAACTCATGAGGAATAACTCGATATCATTAACAATTTTTTTTGTGCACTAGTAGTTTCATTTAATAAATAACATTCCTTGCTCATAATAGCAACTAAATTGTCAATTTATACTGTATAAATCTTTCTTAATTTATAAAGAAACATTTATACTGTATAGCGAGTCTTGTTTTTAAAATTTAACATCTTTCAAATACCTGCTGATTTTTAATTCACATATATTACTAAACACAGTTATATAAAATTCATAACTTTTTGGAATTCCCAAGAATGGTTAAAATAATTACTATAGTCTCGTTTTTTTCTAAATTTAATTGAATAAAAATTTTATTATAACAAGGTAAAACAAATTTGTTCAAATTTTTATATATAAAAATAATTTTTAGGAAAAAATTATAATCAGAACAAAAATTATAAAAAAAATTTAAAAATATATTTTATAAAATGATTAAAATATATTTTTACAATTTTTTAAAATTATAAATTTTAATAAATATTTTTTTATAAGAATTTCCATATAAATTTTCATAAAAATATATTTTAAAAAATTATTTCTAATAAAATATTAGTAAAAGTATAATGAAAAAAGAGTTATTGCTTCTTAATCTAGTACTCCTCCTACATAAGAATTTGAAGCATGATATGATAAATCATATCGTATTAATCAACAAATATAAAAAAAATAAGAAAAGATATATTAAGTTATTATATCATGTCTAGTCATTGAATAATAAGTCACTTATTCCTAAAATAGATATCTAATGTATTTATCCGTTAGTTTATGGGTGAGATTTTAGCAGAGATTTTTATTATATTAATCTATTTTTGTGTGATTTTTCTTAAAATATATACAGGAGGATGAATGATTTAAAAACGAACTATCCATTTATTAGATATAAAAGATTATTGAGATTTTATGATCGGCTGTCAAACTTATTCTAATTCAATAAAAGACTTAAAAATTAAAAAGAATATATTACAATAATTATTATTTAACCATAAATGCAAGATGAATTAAATTACTTTCAATCAATAGGTCATAATATTAACATGTAGATTAAAAATTTACAAAAATTAAAAATTAATTTAAAATTAAATTGATAAATAAAAAAACTAAAAATTGAGAAAAATGTCATGAGACAATTTTAGTGAAATAACTTTAATATTATATACATAAATACATGCTATTATATATTGAGTAAAATATATTTTTGATGTTTATAAATATAACTAAAATTAAATTTATTTCTCTAATATTTTATTTTATTTATTTTAATCTTAATTAGTTTTAAAACTTTTAAAAAATAACATTTGCTATGTCTTGCTGATGACATAACATGGACTTAAAACAGGTTATGTAACTTGCTATCCCAAAATAGGCATTTATGTGATATGCATGTTATATTATTATATGTATTATAAAGTGGTAACGAGAATTAATTTTAAATTTTATGAAGATTAATATTTACAGTTTTTTTAAGGATTAAAGATAAAAATTAATTGTATTTATAAAAAAAAATATTTAAAATATTTATTAAGTATATCTGAAATTGTTAAAAATAAATAACTATTAATAAAACAATTGAAAGCATTTTTATTTTTTTTTTGCTTTTTAGGATTTATTTCAGGTGAGTAGCTATTTTCCTAAAGAGACTCAATTGTAATATCTATTTTTGTTAATGAATTTGATACCTAACTAGTAATTACATTTAACTAACTAATTTGATTTGTGATAAGTAGAATTATTATGAATAACAATGTTTTTTTTATCAGGTTTTAACTACGTTTTTAATGACTTAATCGTTTCTTTTGGTGATTTATTTTAATTTTAAATATCAAATGATCACACAATGAAAGATAAATTAAAATAAAAGGAAATTTTGAAGGAAATGTTAAGGTGTATTCTAAATTCAATGCATGCATTATGTTTTAGGGTTCCCCACTTTGGCATTTCCCAACTAACTATATTATTTAGGCAGGAAATAGTTTTACTGATTAACATTATTCCGCAGCAAATAGTTTCAATAACTTAAATATTAATCAACAAAGTGCATAAGTAAATAATCATAATTTATTGTTAGATTATTTTTCTTCACCCAGGTGCTATTCAATAATTTAAAGAAAATACTATTGTTTAAGAATAAAATAGGTATTTTCCTGATAAATGTCGTATAATTTTGGTATAACGTGTAATCCGTATTTAATGTAATTTCTAGAGTGGGCCTATACCCTATATCAATAAGCAATTTTTCTCACGGGTGGTAACTCCACTGTTACGTCCCCTAACTCCTTTCAGCTCTCTCGTGCCCTTCTTCCTCTTCGATCCGAAGCCCACCACCCAAACCCATCGCCTTCAACGCCTATAGATCTCCCTTTCTCAGCCTCACTCCACGCCTTCTCCCAAATTTCCCTAAACTTTTGATCGATTTTTTTACCTCCTTTCTCTTCTCAGCTTTCCGCAATTGCTTCTCTAGGGTTTCTCCGAGGCAACGGATTTTCCAGTTTCATCTGGTACACTTTCGTTTCCACTTCCAACTATAATTCATCAGCGATTCATTCCGAGAAAACGAAGGGAAAAAAACACATATTGCGATGGAAAAAAAAAATAGAACTGGCATTTTGGCAACTATAACTTTAACTGCTTCGGGATTTTGATATGCCTCTGCTTGTTTTCTGTTGTTCGGGATTAGAATGGACCGGGGAATAATCTGTTTTATCGCGAAAGTTTTTGTAAATTTTTTTTTCCTTTTTTTTGTTTTGTTTTTGCGGAATAATGATCTAAAGGCCTTAGTATGACAATTATGCCTCTTAACTTCATTCGGAGCCCTGTTTTCCCAGTTTGAAGATGTTATGCGTGTGTGATTGTTGGACCTAACTTGCCGATGATATCATTGTTGAGGAGTGGTCGTTGTTCAAAGTTTGTGTTACTTTTGTTGGCTTTGTTTTTGGATCTATGGTTTGGTAATAAGATCGCTACTATGGAAGATGTTTCAGATTATTGGTTCTGGTGGAATTGGATGTTAACGATGGTGGAATACGTTATTTGGTAGACTTGGTATATAGCACGTTGTTTTGGTCGCAAGGTTTATATCTATAATATTTTCTTGTTTGTTTCTGAGCTGTTTCTATAGACAAATATCAAGTGATCATGATCAGAGGGAAAGGCCATTTTATATCAGTTGATTCATTGCATGAACTTCAGGCCATTTTGTAGTTGTTTGAACTTTGAATATAGTTGCATAATATTAAGTGCATAGGCAGAAAAGATGATTAGAAACAGAAGCCGTTAGTAGAACATTACTATGTTATTTCATGGGATTGGCCAAGTGGATAATCATAATCGTTGACTGGAAAATAATAGCTGAGATTTAACAATTTCATAATGTGTGTACACGTGCGTCTATTTTATTATTTTATCATAATTTCAACTGTTAGTCTTTCTATCAACAGTTATAACTCTGCACTTTACCCTCTGAAGTGTTCCCTTGATTTAGAGGAGTCAAATCCTATTTCATGCAAGTCAAAATGTTACTTGCTGTGAGAACCATGAGCAAATGAACTGTCATTTTAGCATATTTGTCATTTTGACTGGGCTCCATGAGGATAACATTGAATATTTTGCAAGCTTACCTTGGCAACTGCCTGAAATGTATCTATTGGGAATGATGTGAAGGATGAATTGCAGCCTAAAATTAGAACTATAACCTGTTAGAATTCATAAGTTTCCTAATTCATTCCTTGTGAATTAGGATTGAGAACTTTGAGGTGTCAACAATGGGATGGGATGTTGAGAATTTGCTGCTGCAAACCAACACTTATTTAGTTACCAGTTTATATAACTCTCAATGTTCACTTAAAATTTAAGAAAGAAAATTTCTATATGTCCACAGGTTTAATGATAACAGTGTAATTCCATATCTAATCTAAACTTCTGTACCTGTATGAATTATTGCAATATGTCTTACCAATTGAATCATGTTTCTCTGTGTCTACCTTATCAGGCCCTTCAATTGGATTGAATGACCGTGTGGCGGCAACTAGGCCATGACTTCAAGCATGTTGAGTGGGGAGCGGAGGTATGTTTTAATTTGAGCATTTTCAAATCCAGAGCAAGTGAACTAATGGTGATTGGTGGGTACATCAAGTATAGTGCAGGAGGTTCTGTGCTGTAATTGACTAGTACCCCAAAACCATATCTATGCTTTGGAATGTAAATCATATAGTGATGTTTTTTCGTAGAAAATGTCATTTTGGTTCTAATGTTAAGTTGATAGAACACTACTGCCAGAAACCAGTGTATGAGTGTTGTTCAACAGAAGTAAAGAACTGAGCTGAAGCTTTTACAAGAACCCAAGCATTGCCTTGAGCTCCTCAGAGAAAGCTATTCTGTTAAAAAATAAAATAAAATGAAATCCCAGCACACATCACACTCACTCTTCCTCCTCCTCCTCCCCCCTATGTTCCTGCTACCCTCCTAACTGATTTGCAGACTCAAAACCACTCAATATTCATGCTACCCTATAATTAATGATATAAAGTCATAGATGAAAAGCAAAACATAGTAGTAAATAACAAAAAAGTCAACTAAGCACCACTCTTGAATTGGTCCATGAGTTGATGCCGCGACTGTGCTATCACACATAAGAAAAAACAGAGAACAGAGAATGTCCAGTGTTTGGGATTCAGAACAGATGCAGAACAGAGAGAAGGGGTGAAGGGAGCCGGTCACACAAAATAGAGAGATGAGGTTGGTCACAAAGTGATTCTTGAACTGAAGGGATAGGAAGTGTGGGAAACCTGACCACTTGACACATGGGTTAAGATTCTTTCATGCTCTGATAAAGGACTGGAAAATGTCAACTTTACCCATAAAGAAAACCCCCAAAATGCTGCAGTTTCCTGTGGGAAAAAAAGGGTTTTTGATATTCCTCAACAATCAACATACCAGTGCTTAGCACTGTGAATGAGCACTTTTTGAGCTGTGATTATGGCCGCTACAGCCATGATGGCTAAAAGCACTGCTAATCAATTTTTTTTACCAGCTCTTAATAACGCTGTTTGGAGTGAAGTATTTGGATCATGTGTTTCTTTGGGCTCAAATCCAGTAATTGTCCTAACTCCTAAGTCCCATCTTGCCCCATTATCCTAGGCCCGTAAATTAGTATACAATCATAGTTCTCCCCAACACGGGCATGAATTATAAATATATTTACTTATTAAGTGACTAAATGAAAATTGATATTGATGATGCTGATGTTGCTGCAGATGGGCCTCTTCCAGAAGAGGTGGTATGACTGTCTTAGGGAAAGTTGCGGTTCCAAAACCTATCAACTTACCCAGTCAGAGGTATTTGAACTTTGGCCAAACACTTTTCTTTTCAGTTAACTGTGATTGGTTTACCATCTGAAAAATTTCCTTCTCACTTTTCTTAAGGTTAGAAAATCGTGGTCTGGACCCAAATGTGGAGATTGTTCCCAAGTGAGTAAATATTCTGTTGACCTAAATGATATAACTTCTGCTGCTGCCTTTTTTCTTTTCGTTTTAGATTATTGATGCTTGTGTGGTCTTTTATATTTTATTTTTATTTTATGATTAGGGGTACTCTCAGCTGGGGTAGTAAATCATCGACTTCTGCATCTAATGCGTGGGGGTCTTCTTCTTTGTCCCCAAATACTGATGGTGGTACTAGTTCGCCTAGTCATCATAGTGCCCGTCCGTCATCTGGTGGAAGCGGTACACGGCCTTCTACTGCTGGTAGTGATAGGGTTCTTGAGCCTACTTCTAATTCATGGGGTTCAAATTCTCGGCCTTCATCAGCATCTGGGGCAATGTCAACAAATCAGTCTTCACTGACATCATTGCGTCCTCGTAGTGCAGAAACAAGACCTGGTAGCTCGCAGCTGTCTCGATTTGCTGAACCCTTGACTGAAAATTCAGGTGCCTGGAATGCTGCTAGGACTACAGAAAAACTGGTATGTATCTGTATATTACTTTTGAAGGTTAAATGTAATTTTTTATATTCATTATTTCTTGGATCAGAGGTTGATTTAGTTAAGTGTGTAGGGCATTTGTCTTTATGCTGGAATTTGTTTTACAGTTATAAAAAAACCATTTCTTACCTACTTGTTGGCTCGTGGACGGTGACACCTTGTTATGGAACATAATTTCTGTGCTGATGCACATATTTGTGACTATGATTTGCTATTTGTTTGGTAAGAGCTATTATTGTGTTGTATGTATATGTATGATTTACTGATTAAGATCTGTGGTATAGATATGATAGACATCCTGTATTTAATCTTTTTTTGGGATGCTATCAAAGTGGGTGATATCATAAACATAGTCCATGTATTCTTTGGTCCACCTTTCTATGGCTGAGCCTTGCCACTGATAGTAGTTTGTTACTAATGCAGGGAGTTGCACAGCCCAAGGGTGATGAATTTTCTCTGAGCTCTGGAGACTTTCCAACCCTTGGTTCTGATAAAGAAAAGTCTATCCTGAATTCTGAGTTGCAAGGTATTATATTGTGCATAACTGTTATGGTGTTCATGATTTCTTTCTAAATTTGAGTATCCATTTTTTACTGACAATAGTCATGCATTTTATGATCATAGTTGTTTTTTTAAATTTTCGACACATATTTATTGATTGATATTGGTTACTGTCAGTAAATGGTTTTTAACTGAAGCTCTAGGATTTCTTGCTTATGATGTTTGATGATATCAATATTCCCTTCAATATGCCAAGAAGATTAAAGGTGTAAACATCTATGTGGTCTATGGGCAGCACATTTTGTCTTTGGGTACAATTGAAAATCCCATATACATTCTCTAACCAGTGCTAAGTTTATTGGGAATGCTTGGAAAGGATTCACTTATATTTTATGAAGATATTCCTGTAATTTTAACTTCCAATTTATATGTTGAAGTAAGTGTTTTGTGTAGAAGCAGATCACTTGAGCATGAAATTCATCTTGTTACAGTCATATGGCTGTGGTTTTAAAATGGATAAAGATTGTTGTTGTAATTTTATTGTTAATTGTTGAATAATTATACTGCAATGATATTGTTATCTTAAAGACATACAAAATAAAAATTTCGTGAGTATCATAATCATTAGCTATACTACTGGGTTCTTCAATGATTTTTTTGGAATATTTTTTTCTTTCAATAATTGGCAGACCACAGTTCTCAAGCTCGCCCTGGCTCATCTTCTGGACTCAGGAAAGAGATAAATGAAACCTGTGTTATTGGTATGTCTGCATGAACTTGCTTCTATACCAACTAACATGTTAGTTCAATTTTATTCTGCTTAATTGTGCTATTAAGGTTTTGCTTCTTTCTATGACTAATTGATTATATTGTCTTATGTTATTACAGATGATGTTCCTGTAAATGCAAATATAAAGGGTGGAACTGTAAATTCATGGAGGAGAGATTATCAGGCTTATAATGAGGAAGGTGTGAGGCCAGGCATAGAGAAATGGCAGGGAAATTCCCAGCCTTATCCTAATGCTGGTGTTCCTCCTCAACACTATGATGCTTGGCATGGTCCTCCAGTTAATAACCCTCAGGGCTGTGTTTGGTTCAGGGGTCCTCCTAGTGGTCCCCCATTTGGAAATCCTGTAGCACCAAGTGGCTTTCCAATTGAACCATTTCCATATTACCGTCCCCACATGCCCCCTACTGGTCTTGCCAACCCACCGCCACCAGGTCCCCCTCCTGGGCCTGGACCAAGAGGGAACCATAAGAATGGAGATGTCTACAGGCCTCACATGCCTGATGCCTTTATTCGCCCAGGCCTGCCTATGAGACCTGGCTTTTATCCTGGTTCAATGGCCTATGAGGGATATTATGGTCCTCCAATGGGCTACTGCAATTCAAATGATCGAGATGTTCCTTTCATGGGAATGGCTGCTGGACCCCCTGTCTATAATAGGTACTCAAATCAAAACCCCCCTGAACCTGGTAATTCACAAGGTAGATCTGGTGGATATGGTAATGCTGGGAAGCAGTTGCCCTCAGAGCAAGTGGAATCCAGTCATCCTCCTGACACTGCTGGACCATACAGAGTTCTTCTTAAGCAGCATAATCCAGATGGGAAAAATGAAACAACGAATTGGGAGGATTCAGAGACAACAAATGTATCATATGTTGATGGCAAGGGCCAATCAAGAATGTCTGTTTGGGAGAATGAGCAGAGATCAGATTACAGAAAGAAGGAGATGGATTTAAGGACAAGTGCTCATGGTGAAGAAGTTTCTTCTCAGACTACAGAAAATCGAGTGTCTAGTTCTTCTGTCATTAAAGCCAAATTTCCTGAGAGTTCAGGAAATATTAAAGGATCTGATGATATTTCAGCAAGGAAATTGGATGGTACGGCCTTTGATATGCTAGAAATCCCCCCAAGATCATCTGCTCCAAAAGATGCCAGTTTGATTCAAAAGATAGAGGGTTTAAATGCAAAAGCCAGGGATAATTCGTCTGCTAGGATTAGAGAGGAGCAAAGGAATAAATATCATGCTGGTAATGCTCCAATAAACCATGTGGAAAATGTAGTTGGTGCTGATGTTGTGTTTCCAGCAAGAACTCATGCTGCAGAAGTCTTGCATCCAGCCCATCGAGAAGTGGGTGGTGCTGAAAAGAATTTTGAATCCATGCCTTTCAGTGGAACAGCCACATCCAGGTTTGGCCATAACTTCTTGGTGTTGACTGCTGCTAATTATGGTTCATTTATCTTGGTGTAAAGAATTTTCAAATGCTTATTCACAGGCAAGCTGCTCATGGAATGCAAGGTAGAGGTGACCATCGAAACAAGGGAAGATCAAACGATCAAGATGCTGATGGTTGGCGAAAGAGATCCATGGTTGAAGATTCTTCTGCTTCATCAGGTGCACAGTTGGAGGCATCTAATCTTCTTGTGGGTGACCATCGAATATCTGTTGAGACCTATGATAGGTCTGGGTCCTATATTCAAGCAAGGCATATTGGAGAACATGTTCAAACCAGGTCTGATCCTCCTGAGAACCATGCAAAGGTAATGCCTACCCCATATATATGCTTATTCCTTGTTTACCTTTGCATTTAAAACTTACATAATATGCTTTGAAACTTGTCAGCGTGCCAAAATGAAAGAGCTAGCCAAGCAACGGACTAAGCAACTGCAGGAAGAAGAGGAGGAGCGGACAAGAAAGCAAAAGGCAAAAGCTCTTGCAAAGTTGGATGAGTTAAACAGGCGTTCTCAAGCAGGAGAGGAGTCAACTCAGAAAGAGTTTGCTACAAGTTCTGTCATCCAGGATAATCAAGAGAAATTACAACCTTTTGACTCAACAACTTCAGCAGGGAAATTTGGAGTTGTCAGTTCAGCTTTATATGGTAATGCCAATATTGTCTGTCAGATTAATGACCCCAACATTAGTAAATTGGAAAAACTGCCAATCTTCTCCAGTGAGGCACCTGTAGAGACACATAAGATTTCTGGAAAAGAACCTGTTCTGAATCATATTCAATCAGTGATGGTGCACCAGGATGTCAATAGTGCCGATGCGTCTAATGTGTCGCAGGTTCACAACAATATTGCCTCAAAACAGAAGCGAATGAGCTATAAACAAAAGCAAAATCTTCCTTTAGAGAAAATATCAAGTGAAAAGGTTGTTTCTATTACCTCGACTGCCCCAAAAGCCGAGAATGAGACAGTGGTTGATGTTTCTCTATCTTCTGGCATTGTTACCCCCGAAGTTGGTTCGGCCTGTGGCTCTGATTTACCTGTGAATTCTGCTGCTGTAGGTGAGTCTTCAGCAAACCTTAAAAAGAAGAATAACAGGAATGGCAAAAACAAACAGAAATTTGATGAAAGTTCATCTTCAGCTGCAGTACCATTGGCAATATCAAAAGAAGCCAATCTTTCCAAAAGTTCAGTTGAAAATGATAACTTCAAGGCTTCTGATTTTGATTTAGATCAGGGCTCACTTCAGCCAGCAACCTTGTCTAAAGATCCGAATCAGTTTTCAGAGCAACACAGATATTTAGCAAATGAAGAATCCCATGGTAGAATGAATAGCCAGTGGAAATCACAGAACTCTCGTAGGATGCCAAGAAATATGCAGGCCAATAGAACAGCAGAGAAATCCCATGGGAGTGATGCTGTGATGTGGGCTCCTGTTAAACCACAGAACAAGACGGAGGTTGTGGATGAATCAAGTGAGAAAAGTAAATTTGAAGCAGTTAATCCTTTAAAGAGTGACCAGCAGGTGCATAATTTAAAAAATAAGAGGGCAGAAATGGAGAGATATATTCCAAAACCTGTTGCAAAAGAAATGGCTCAGCAAGGAAACATACAACAACAGTTGGTTTCATCTATCAATCAATCTCCTACTAATGATAGTATTGGAAGAGTTGATTCTGGATTGCAGGGTGCTCAGATTGCTCAGCATACTAATTTAGTTATTGGAAAAGTGGGTTCTGGAATGGAGTCCAAAAGTAGGGATGGCAGGCATACTAAGCAGGGAAAAGCTCATGGATCATGGCGGCAAAGAAATGTAACTGAATCAACTAATGCACATGATGGACTGGACCATGATTCAAACTCTGAACCAAGTATTCAGAGACGAACAGAGCATCATCATGAGCAGAAGTCTGAAATAAGTTTTGTGAAAGGGCAAACAAAACATTTAAATGACTCTGGTGATATTGATTGTTCAAACAATTCCAACAACAGTGATTCAGCTGCTCCAGTTTCAGTTCCTGTTACTAAAGATCATGCAGCTGCAGGCAGAGGGAGACGGGCCCCTTTCAGAGGACACAAGGGTGTAGCAGGGAACCGCGATGTTGATAACAAAAAAATTTCTGGGGAGACAGAGAAAATTGAAACACGTGTCTCATCCTCTGAGCATGGTCAACCAGATGTTGTCGCAGCTAAAGAAAATCGAGTTGTTGGCGAACGGTTGACATCTCAATGGCAACCCAAATCTCAACCATCCACTAATCAGAGAGGAAACACCCCAAGTGATCAAAATGTTAGCTCAGTGGTTGTTGGAGCTAACAAAAATGATTCCACTCATGATGGTGAATCTCTTCCAGCGAGCCGTGGCAAGAGTTCTAATGCTCATGTAGCCCAACCTCTCCATGATCAATCAGTCTCTGAAAAGAGCCAAGTCGGAGAAGCTCCACATTTTGGGAATCAAGAGGCTAAAAGAGAGAGGAGAAATGCTCCAGCAAAAAGGCGTCCCCACTCTCCAAATCAGGTATCTGTTATATCAGTTGAGCAGGCTCCAACAAATATGGATCTTTTGCATGAGCAACGCCCATCATCTGGGTCTGGCAAAAATGGAAACCAAAATCGGTTTCGAAGAGGACATGAATCACATGGAGATTCGAAACCACCTACCCAAGATAACAGACATTATAACCAACCTACAAACCGAGAAAGGCAGGGCTCAAACTTGCATTATGAATATCACCCTGTTGGGCCATATGAAGACAGCAAATTGGACAACTTTGAACGACCCAAAAATGGTAACCATGGTGGGGGGAGATATAGAGAAAGAGGTCAAACTCATTCACGCCGAGGTGGGGGAAATTCTTACGGACGCTAGGGTGGTGTTGATTAGATGCTGTGTTAGTAATGGAGAGACTTTCTCGAGGTGGTTTTTTGTCTTCTATCAGAAGCCATACATCCATTAACTGTCCTGCTATATTCAGCAGTGTTTCAGGTACATGCAGTCTAGGTTCCAGATTCGTTCAAATTTTAATTGTAAATGTAGCCACATGAATTATCTTCTGATGGTCGGTATGTATTCAGCAGGGCCGAGAGCTATGAAGATGGTGCTCCCGATTTTTTGGGGGGCTGGGGGCAGAAAAGGGTTTCATGGATAGTACAGTGGTTGACTGGTTGATTGTTATTTTTCTGGTGTATCTGATTGAAAATAGTAATTTGATGGCATCTTGTTTCTTAATGGAAGTATGGAATATTTGACTTGTTTCAACTAGTCCAGTGCTAGGCGTAGCAAGGATGCTAAAGAAAATGTGTTCCACGGTGCACTTTTCCTCGTATTTTTGCTGGAAAATATATGAAATGTGCTCAAGCGTTTGCGCAGTGAGTAAAAATAATTATTTGAATTGAGACGGTGACTAATCTATAATTCAGAAAAGACGTAAGCTACCGAGTAGTGTTTATATTTTATTTTTTCGTTTACCTCGTGTGGTTGAAGAGCTTGAAAAGATTTTGGGTCATTTGGTACGATTAGAGCCGGTAAAATGGATTATTTAGTAGTCGGGAGGTTTATGAGATTTTTTAATAAATTTGTGTAATGGATAAATTGAACAATTTAGCTTAACTAACGGTTTTTGTCAAATAGTATTTACTTTTGTGATACTTGAGATATTAAAAAGACATTAAAAATGTCACAGGAGAGGAAAGGGAACGTAGTAATGAAGGCAACCAATTTAGCGGTGGAGGCAGCTAAAAACACCGTGAGGGGAAAAGGGATGAAAATGATGACATTTTGGAATAAAAGGAACATATTAGGTATCATTTAATAGCAACAGTTTAATCTTAAATCGTTAGTTAAAAGTGAATGTTTGTTGAAGAATTTGTCCAACACTCATAATTTCAATGACTAAAATAGCATTTCTTTTAGTAATTTTATTTTGGTCAAGCGCATACTCGTTCATTTGTGCTAGCCTATATTCCAAATAATAAACTTTAGTGGGTTGGCTAAACAAAATGAAATTTATTTTAGGATGACAAAAATGATATAGCTTTTTCTTTTTTTGGAAATTTTGTAGATTTAGCTTATATAAAGTTTTATCAGATCAAATTAATTTTTTAAATTTAATTTAGACTTAAAATTTAATGTCTAATTTATGGGAAGAGTTTAGGTTAGTTAGATTGAGTAGATTTATTTTGCTAGTTCTGGGTGCAATATTACCAAAAGTGGACAGACAATAAATTGCAAAGGTGGTTGAATATTGATTTAGACGATGTTTATTATAAAAGAAATTAGATGATGTTATGAAAATTTATATATAATGACAATAATTGTAATGGAATAGTTTAAAATCTAAACACTAAACCAAGTTGGTTTAATAATTTAAAAAATCATCAATGGGATGTCTGTGCTTTTATAAGATTTTTTTTTAATTAAAAGTTGATATTTAAAATATTAGTAATAAATATATATTTTTTCATAGAGTAAAATGTTAAAATTAAAAATGTTAGTTTTTTTAGTAAGTTTAATATAGTAGGAGTTTTTTTCTTTATAATGTTCTTTTTTTGTTACAAGAGAAAGAAAACAAAATGTTTAAGCCTAACAAAGAAAATCAAAGATATTGCAGCAAAGGATTAACTATTCACATATCTGACAAAAGACACATGAAAATACAGAATATCTAATATGTAATTACTCTTTTTAAAGCTTGAATAAAAGCCTCTTAAATTGATTATTTAAATCAAGTACTACTAGTCCTTCTGTTATATTATTTCTTTTCTTTTAAGTAAGATAATTGACATATATGATTTTTTTCTTAATTAAATTTTTTTTACTAAAATAAAAAATAAAGCAATTGTTAAATAAAAAATTGACTATAATAGAGTAAATAATAAAAGAGTATATTTTTTTTGCTTAAATAATTTTTTAGTTCATATTTTTATTTTTCTTTTGTCTTTACTCACTGTCTATTTTTTTTTAATCACCATTTTTCTTTTTCTTTTTAATTATGGTCTATTTTTTTTTTAGTTCTCATTTCTATTTCTATTTTTTTTAGTTCCAATCTATTATTACATATTATAGAAAAATAAGACACTGAAAAAAGGAGATAAAAAAAAGCAAAAAATAAATAAAGGGAATATATATATATAAAAGAGTCATCTAAACCAATTTTGTTTTCAACATTTAACATATTTAAAGAGTGATTTATCCAAAAGTGTTATTATTAAAGTAGATCATAATAAGTTAAATGTTCTATTGTTAACAATTTATAGTGAGCTAATTAAATTTGTTCAGCAAATTAACCTTTATCTTATGATTTATGAATCCATACCCTAATTGTGTGTTTAATTTTTACTTCCCATTCTTGATCGAGAAATCTTTTGCTGCTACGAATCAAGAAAAAAACCCACCATACTACCCATTTTATACATCAAAAGCAATAATTTTAGGCAAACTTTAACTCTTCTAGAACTCCTAAGATAAGCTGAAGTATAGCCAATATTTTTCGAAAAACCATCCATTGGCTTACGATTTATTATTTTTGGGAGGGATTTAAATGTTCTCTTTTAATACAATTGAGACTTTTTGAAAGTTAAAATTCGAAACATTAAGTCTACCTTAAGCTAAGCGGCCAATACTAACTTTACTTTCAACATATTTTTTGCTCTTAGTGTATATATTGGCCTCATGAATATTAGCTGCATCCAAGCATTTCATGGGATGATGAGCTACCATCAACCAATGCCTAGTTGGGGTAATAAAACTTGCTTCATGAATATGATTACTTTGTCATTACCATGATCTTAAATGGCGTTAGGCCAACTGATATTTGAGTCAAAACTAATATTATTGTTAAGGTTAAAATTATCCAATTATTCAGAGTTAGAAAAATCTTTTCTATTTTAATAAAATGCCTATATATTACAAGAGTAAAGAAACAGTCTCTTAAAATATGAATGTTACTTTATTTTATATAATCACAATGATGATAAAAATATTTTTTTAAATTTTATTTTATTTTTGTAAATAAATCTATTTAAAAATGACACATCTCTTGTAACTCTTCGTTCTTTATCTAATGATATATCTCCTTAATTAAAAAAATTAATAATGATTTTGTTAAATTAATTTCAACACAATCTAGCACACTTCTTGTAACGTAATTGTATTATCAATTCTAACTATTCAATTAATTCTAATTCCAACATGATGCAACACTTTAGTATCATAGTATTTTGTGAACAATTAAAAAAAATAAATTCACATTGTCACCCTTTCTATTGATCCACTAGAGGGATAAATATCTAGAGATAATTTTTAAATAGTGAGATAAGGGTCATGAATTAACCATAAACTTTAAAATAATACCTTTATCTAGTCCTCTTTACTAGGAAAACTTTACTAGAAACTAGTTATGACCCATATCTATAATGTTAATAATGTTCTTTCTTTCTTATATAATTTTTAATGTTGTTTCTAATACCTTAAATCCATTACTTGTCTCCAACTAATTGACTATAATACCATTTCTCTTTTGCTTGTTGATTTTTTTTTCCCTTCTATTAAGGATTAAGGACGGACAATTGTACTTCTTAATTTATTTTTTTAAACAATAATTATATCAAGAAGCTTAAGGACTTTTGATCTCTCTATTTAAGTCTTACCATCATCTTTCAAAAATTCATCTTATGTTACTTTCTTTCATTTATCATCATTTCTTGCATCATCATAATCTTCATTTTCCCCAACTAGTAAATCCTCATAAAACTATTTCATGACCTCTTGTCCTTTTTCCAAGACCTAGAGATGGGTGAAAATAAAAAGTAAGATATCTTTCTTTGATTTTTTTTTTCTTATCCAACAAATCCAATTTTTCTAAGGATGACTTTTTCTTTTTTAACATTGCCTCTAAATTTTTTTCTCACCTCATTGTATTATTTTGAATATTTGTTACAAGATTGTTATTAATCATGATCTAATAAAAAAATAAAAACTCACAATTAAAATTTATAAGTAATTTAAATATAAAAATAACAGTAAATCAAATTCCATAATGCTAAGACGCTAATATCATTAATTGAAATTAAACTTAAGTACAATAAAATCATTGAAAAAGATTCATTATTGTAAAGGACATATATAATGGTAATACGAAATTATTTTTTCAAAGAAAATTATCACCATAAAATATGAACAATTGTAAAAAAAAAAAAAATAGTTTGGCCAAATTGAATTAGGAAAAAATTATTTCATCTCTCATTTCTTAATGCTCATAAAAATAAGGGTGGTGTGAGTGATAATATTTTTTTTTTCACTTCTATTCTTATTATTTTCATTTTTTACACTTTTTTACAGGTGGAAGATAAGAAAATAATAATAAAAAATTTATTTATCTTATATAATAATTATAGTCGAAACATATATATACTTTACTTATCTTAACAATAATTATTATTGCAAAATTATCTCAAACATATATTCAGAAAATGAGGAAGATGAGTAGTAGTTTTTTTTACGTGATATCTTTTTCTTCCTTTTTTTTTTTCTACTTTCTATATAATATCTTTTATAAAGAAAAAAATATTGAAAATAATGTTAATATCTTTAGTTATATTATATATGATTTACTTTATAATAAATTATCATAGTTGATATATGAGAAAAATCTAAAAATATAAACATCTTAACAATCTTATTGGTAAAATATATTATTTTTGTGTGCAAGTGTTTTCGTAAAAAAGTAATAAATGAGTTTTAAATTAAATTTTTAAAATATTATTTCACAAAAATTATTTACAGTTACTAAGAAATTCTAACTTTAAATGTTTGAATTCAAAAGTTAGATGATAATTAAACTAAATAAAATAAGTAATTTAAAATCAATAAAACTAAAAAAACACGCTTTCTATTAGAATTAATGAAAAAGAACTTATAGCATATGATTTTACTAATTCTTTATGTTAATCTTCAATCTAATTCTAATTCTACTTTTCTTATAATTGTCAATCACTCGTATTTATTTTATTAACATTTAATAGTCATGAAATATTAATAGCTTTTTTCTTAAACTATTACCTTAATAGTCATATAAGGTAAACGGAAGAAAAAATATGAAACTCTTATGAACTTGTTAATTTAATAACCGTTAGAAGAGAAAAATTAAACTTGATCCACCAAAATTCTTATTTTGTTTTATCCTATGAGTCCATTAACTATATATAGTACGGTCGCCTATTATATAATTAATTATGAGATGTTAAAAGTAACCAATTCTTAATGTTCGTGTTTAGGAAACACTGATCTTCAAAATATCCTCCTACTACGAGATGGGATGACGTCCTCCTTAATATTGCAAGTCTTTCTTTGTCTGACATAGGGAGTATACCTGCAAAAGGTATTCCAATGATAAAGTCAGGTATCGGTTTAGGTAATAAATGATATTTAATATTCAAAAGTCAACCACTTATCTATACCTCTTACATTCCTTTTATAGGCAATATTATGGGCTAATGAGTTTTGTGAATTAGCCTTGATTTTAGCCCTGTAATTAAGTAAATAATGATTTATTATTTACCTTAATAAATTTAATTATTTTTTAATTTGACTGATGAGATACTCGTTTTAATAAGACCGAAGGAGTATTCAGATTCTTTCTTTTATCTTTAAGACCTACTGGTATCCTATCCAGTACACTTAACATACATTTATATGTAATATAATAAAAATCAATAACAAACGAAAATTGATATTATCATTAAATGTAAAAATTACATAGTCTTAACTATAGATTTAGTTACTCATCGTAAGATAAACAATCAAGATAATTACAAACAAAACTATAGACCTGAAAAAAGTGTGAAAACTATAAAATTCTTTCAAAGGGAAGGAATGAAAAGAGTTCTCACTCTTTAATCACTTGTTTGGACTCTAAATAAACTTTTTTTTGTCTTCGCTAACTATAGATTTAGTTACTCATAGTAAGATAAACAATCAAAACAATTACAAATAAAACTACATACCTGAAAAAAGAATGAAAACTAGAAAATTCTTCCAAAGGGAAGGAATGAAAAGAGTTCTTACTCTTTAATCACGTTTAGTCACTTGTTTGGACTCTAAATAAATTTTTCTTGTCTTCGCTAATAACGTTTGTCTTAATGATTCCAAATGCTATCAAAGGTGTGTCAAAATAAGGATATTAGGGTCCAATTGTTGTTATTTATGTCGTTCTTCTTATGAGATTTCAAGACCTTCATAAATTGATTATTTGTAGGTAAATACAACTGTCCACTACCATAAGCACGGTGGATCATGCTATGACATGAGGCATCCCATGCTAACTGTTAGGGAATGAATGTGTTAGTTGCAGAAAAACTTTATTTTTCATGAAATTTTGGTAAAAAAGGTACTAAAAATCTAATTATGTCCTCTAGAGTTAAACTGTACAATTTATGTATAAATCAATATAAAATCTAATCAAATAAGGGTTAATAATATAAATATAAGTTATAAAAAATGCATTAAAATACAAATTTATCATATTGCATTAAATATTAAAAGAAAAATACAATTATTTATTTATTGAATCTCATTTTACTCAATATCTTATTCTTTCAAAAAATTTAGTTTTAAAAGTAAATTTGTTGTAAATAATATAACTATTTTAATGTAAAATGATTACGTAATGATTAAAATATGATTTTATTTTTTGTATTAAAGTTGATATTATATATAATATTATTATTTTATTTATTTATTATATTAAGTTTTATTGTTTATTTTAATCTTATTTATGAATGATACTCGTGTGGATAAGAGTACGAGATTGTATTTATGTTTCATCTTCTCTATTATTGACTTGTCCTTAGTCTTTATCCTTTTTTTTTTTTTTCAATGTCATATTCTCTATCTCTCCTTAGAAAATGGTAGAAATCTTGAAACATGTTATAAAAAAATCTGATTTTTTTTTAAAAATAAAGATGAAATAAAAAATAATATAGAAATATGCTATACATTTGAAATTATAAGTAATAAATTTATTATATCAAATTTACATAAATACATACAAATAGTTCAAATAACTTAAATTAAAATATAATAACATAAACTAAACACATCAAATTAAATTAAAGATATTTTTATATTTTATATATGTGAAGTGGAAAACTCATAGGGCAAGATGTATGATCTTTATGAATCTCAAAATCTGAGGTGAGGAAACTTTTACGCTTAGTTCCCGTTTTTACGAGAGATTTTCTCTTGAATGTAAGGTCTCGAATGAAACAATTTACACATGGATTCCCATCTTCAAGTAAAAATTATTATATTTAGTTTTATTTTCCGATGAGTCTAAACAAAAATAAAAATAAAGTTATCAAAATTTTATAATTATACTATGTTTAAGTAAGTTTCTGATATTTTAAAAGTTTATATTTTATTTACAGAAATTTCTCATACATCTTTTAGCAAATATATTTAAAATTTATTTTATTTTATTTTATTTTTATCATTTGAATATCATGGTTTTTAATTTTCTTTTTTTAAATATTTCAATTTTTATTTAATCTTTCTGTGACAGAAAGTTATATGAAAATTTTGTAATATTTAAAATTAAAAGAGGAATTAAAATACTAAAAAAAAATTTAAAAGTTAACAGAAAAAGCATTTAATAAAAAATACTTTATAAAAGTCTGAGTAAAAAAAATTGGAGTAAAAAATAAAAAAAAGACTTTTTTATGAAGAAAAAAATTAATTAAACTTTCGTGGAATATCCTCAGGCCAACGGATTCATCTGGTTGGTGACAATTAAGCTTTTGTTATTATTTAAAATAAACTCTGACTTATTACGAATGTATAGAAATAGAAATATGAAAACATAATATCCTCGTCTTGTTCGTCATTCGCCCACTGTGCTGTTGTTTGCTTAGGGTTTGAAGAGTTCCAATTTCCCTTCATTTCTTCACAAGCAATTCCCCAACCGTTTCGTTTCGATAACTCGAGAAATTGGAACTAGCTTCGGATACGGTACGCTACACTTGGCTTTCTCAAGCTTTCTATTTTCTTTTTCTTTGTTTTGTTTATCTGACCTGTTTTCCATTTCTGGTTCTTTCGTTAAAACATGAATTCTTGCGGTTCCTATCCTTACGCTTCCTTTGAAAATAAAATAAAATAAAATCTTCTTATCAGCACTTGTCCAGAATTATTTTGATTTTGTTAGAGAAACACTCGAGTCGGTGTCGATGAAATTTTGATCTTTTGTTTTCCAAAATTGAGCTTCAAATCTATGACTATAAGTTCGTTGGATGAAGCCAATCAAGTTCCAGAGTTGAAAAATGTTAATGTGTCATGCGGACAGAATTTTGTTGAAAATGACTTATGAGTTACTTCTTCTTCTTTTTAGTTTAGTTATCTCTCTAATTTCTTTGTTTTTGTGTTTGCTGAAGGTCCTATCAGGATAATTTGGTGGTTAAAGACATAAAATGGCTTTAGTTGCCCATCAACCGCAGGTACTTATCAAACTCACCACTTATTGATTGTATGTACAGCAAATTTTAACTTATCACTGTCACCGAGTTTTTAGCCTATTATGGATAGAATTAGGCGTAATTGTGATTTCAATGTCAATGGGAGTAGTTTATCAATAAATTTCCATTAGATTATGATTTTAATTTCAATGCTATTTGTATACTCAGTAAAGTAGTCTTCCTGTTCAAGTGATGTTTCCTGCTGACATCGATTGAACTGTTGCATGAAATTTAGTAATTGGAGCATCAGATCAGAGTAGCCTACATTTATTACTTATCTTGAATATGGAATTCTATTTGAGAGGTGAAGATATATACATCTCTCTTCCTCTCTCAAATTCTTTCCTGATATTAAGTTTAATTAGCTCTTAATCTATTTTTAGTTTTTTATTTCTCCAGGGCTTATATGTGACATTTTCCTCTAGGCATTTGTCATGGAGCAAAAGGCTGAAGTTGAAGCAGTGTTTAACAAAATGTCACTTGATTGGAAGAGCTGATTGGCATTACTTATTAAATCAGAATATTTGTTTAAGGTGGAGATATTGATGTGGTACTGTGTTGAAAATTAAATATGGTCTTGTTTGTGGGTCACTATTTTCAATTGCTTTAAGATGTTTAGAACTAGTTCACGTAATGATAGAAGTGTCTTAGAGTATCGGAGGTGGATCTATACTCTATAGTAATTTTTGGTAGAGTCAAATTGAAATGCAACTATAGGGAGCTTGAAATAAGATTGAAGAAACTTGATTGATCAGTTATATTTATATTATTTTTAAAGAAATAAAATTTCCAGTCTGTAGAAATAGGAGGTTGATAATAGGAGGAAGATTTTGTTTGGGGAGAGAAAAAAAATTTAGTGCATGTACATATTTTTTGCACCAATGATTTATTGGTGTGAGTACATGTGTTAAATTTTTGTTGTAATACCAAATTATCACATTGAATTTATTATTATGTTTAGATTGCAATTAATTTTCAGTTACATGTCCTGGGATTCTTTTACATACTGCATGGAAAATTTCAGTTATATACTTGCTTTAAAATGCAGATAAAGGATTTCTTGTTTCCAGTGTAGGGCCTCCTCACATTTGTGGACCCAAACTGAAACCTTTGAGGATTTCAGGGTTCAAAGGCAGTGCCAAAGATGATGATTCAGTAACTAGGGCCAATGGATTGAAGATCCCCAAGACCTCTGTTAAACTAGAAGAAAGTGGGGAAATCAAATCAGAATCTCCAAAGGCCAACAGTGTTCGGCTGTCTTGTGCCTCTGAAGCAAATGAGAACCTTGCAGCATCACCTGGTATTCATAAACTCTTCAAAAAATGGCTTACAATATTGCGCACACCACCTTCGAATCAAGGAGTGGAGGAAATCTTGGGAAAACCACCTACAGGAGGGGTTTCACCAGAAACTCTACAAGGGATGCAAAAGACTGTAAAAGGTCAGTCATTGAAGGTAGCATGGTCACATTTACTAGCCCTGGATGCAACAATAAAGATTCCTTTCTTAATATTGTAAGTATAATTGCTTTTCGGTCTCTGCATTTTATGTTATCTGTCTCTCCCTACGTCACATGTACTCTCTATATTTGGGATTTGAGAAAGAACGATGCGTGGGCATTTCTTATTGTATCATATGTGATTCTTATTGAGGTCTTCAAGTTAATTTGCAGTCTGCCAATCACATTAAATTTCAGGAGGTGTCACTATCAACAAGGATTTTTTTGTTGAAGCAAATTTTAGGCTACCAGAATTTATAAAGAAAATAAACCTAGCATTGTCATTAATAATACATACAGTAGAATTGCATTCCTTATAGGGTATTATACTAACTAGTGATTTTTTTCTTTTTCTTTTTGTTAAATAGAGTTTTCGTTATTCATGCTTAAACAGTTTCTGGATTTCCTTTTGGGGTCTGGCTCAAGTTTTATGGGCATCCTCAACGATTATAGGAGTGTCATCTGGTGGATCCGTTGGATCAATAAGTATGCAACATCAAATTGACATAATGTCAACAATAATAAAAAATGGGTTTGTTTGTATGATATTTTGAAGAAGATCTTTTTTTATATGATCTTCTAAAAAATCCTTTGTTTTAGAGCTATTTATTTTTTGATGTAAAATTTGAGCTATGTAATTTTTATGTGTGAACAACATTTTTATGTTGTAAAAATACCTTTTTTTTTCTGGAGGCACAAAACCCTAGCATAAAAAGCAAAGGAAGTACCTTTTGCTTTTTCTAAGAAAAGCTCATCGAACACAACAAAAATATAACAAAAGAGCTTGTTTTCAGAAAGATTATATTTGCGCCGAGAAAGAATGTACATCCAAATAAGCCCCAATATTTTCTCCCTTTATGTACTACGGCATATGTAACTAGCTTTTGAAGTAGAGTTTGTCTTGCTTTTTAAGTAATATGTTCACAGCATGCACTGCACACTAATGCTTAATGCTGTTTTGCATCTTCTGATTTTTTTTATATTTATCTGCAGTGCTCCTTTCTACTTGGCTGTTAACGTAGTTCATGGTGCTGAGGTGTCAAAGGAGTTAACTCCTTTATGGGTTTTGGGGCCACTCATTGTGGCTCTGTACATCATGATAGTGCGGTGGCTGAGTGCACTCTATGTCTTCAGCTTCAAGCAGACTGTCAAAGTAATTAAGAATTTACCATCTTACTGCATTTTGGCCTACAGCTATGTTTTTTGTGGCAAGCTCAAAGAGGACATCCATGCTCTTATTTTGCAGCCTATATTGAGCATAAAAAATACTGATTATAAAAAGCTGACGAGAAAAAAGTTGAAAGAATTGGCAGAGTGGATAATTGAGAAGTATCTTGATTTTGTGGAATCAATATGGCCGTACTATTGTCGGACAATCAGGTTTTTGAAAAGGGCTAATCTTATTTAAATTTGAAAGTAATTTTGTTTGAGGTTAGTCTTGACGAGGGTTAAGAGAGAGAGAGAAATTGGGGTGGGGGGTTGCAGAAAGTTGACAGTGATTTCAAATGAGGACTAGGCAATCCCATTTTATTCCGGGGTCTTGCTGTTTTGAGCGAGTAAATGGTCACGAGTTAGCTAGTTCCTGATTCCTGTTACGTTGGGTTAGGTTGTAATTGTATCGCACGTGAGTACGAGGTTGTGTATTAGATCGATTCAGTTTGTGTTTGGGCATCGGAACGGATTCTTTCTAAGCCTAGCACACCCTACCCTTGTTTTCTTGCGTAAGAGCTGTGTATTGTGTAGCATCATTGCTGAAGATGGTTTAGTATTCTACCTCCCTCCTGCCTTGTTAACAGCTGGAGCTGGTTTAAAGATGGCTACCGAGAGCGAACATTCTTGTTTCTCTGAGGTATTCACAAATCTATCCAATTCAATATAAACTATAAAAATTGAAATCAAAATTAAAAATTGTAAAAACTGAAGATCTTTTATTGGATTGGATTTTGAATTTAATTTTAAAAATTGATTCAATTCAGAATTGAATTTATGTGCGGATATTTGGAATTTTACAACTTATGTAAGCATATACTTTCGAAATTGTAATACCTAATTATTTTTTCATGTTTTTATTTTCAAACTATATTTTATTATTTTTTAGGAATGTATATTATTTTTAATATGTTTAAGTTTATTTTTTATTAATTTAACTTTTTTTTGTGCATCATATTTTTTATATACATTTTATGTTTTGTAAATAAATAAAAAATTACAATTGAGACATTACTTAAAACAAATAAAACTTGTAACATCCAAAAGTTTATGATGAAACTGACGGCTCTGGTCTGTGTCTAAATTGTAAAAACAAGATCAGTTTGGGCTCATATTGAGGTAGTTATGACGTAGCAGTTAGTAACTGTTATGTACAGTCACTGTATGGCCACTAAAATTGGTTGCTTCTTTTCAATTTTTTTATGTACAGTCGCATAGAATAATAATCTTTTTATTTCAATTTTTTTTTCTCTGCTCTTTCAATTTGAGATAACAAAATACTATGAAAACTTTTTTTTCATTTCATTTAAAAAAATCACTTAATGAATTGTAAACTTTATTTCATTTTATTCCATTTGTTTGCATCGATTCATTAAAATATTTAAACATAGCCTTATTTAAATAATTTTTAAACATAGTTAAATTTTACAATTTCCTGTGTGATTAGTTTTATCTGTCCCTCCTAAAATATCATCAAAAGATAAGAAAGAAAGAGGATAAGGACAGATGTATGATAAAATTTCTCTGCCTTATACTTATCCAGCTTTTCAGTTCCCGAAACTCTAATAAAATTCTCCCACTGGTACATGGTCTAAGAAGCTTCAACAAATGATTTGGTGCCAAAACTACAATACAAATAATAACATATACAGCCCGAAGCCTAACCAAAGTCAGCATACTACTACTAAAGGATCAAATCGTAAGAGTGGAAAAGTCAACGCTGAGGAAATCTGTACAATTGTTTCAAATGGAATTCCATTTTTCCCTACCAAACCAGATTCCCCTTTTGACTCATGACCTCTCTTTATTAATTTTTATGTGATTATTTACTTAAGGAGAATGTTAATTAGTTACGGATACGGGTTAAGAAATAAAATATTTTTTATTAAAAATATTATTAATATGCATTTATTGTTATTTTTAATAAAAGATATTTTTAATTTCTTAACTAATGCCTGTATTTAAAATGACTCTTTACCTAAACAGGAACAAATAATTGCGTTCAACAAATATTAACACTAACCCATGATTCTGCACATTTTTGTCTGTAACCATTATTTTCCTCTCCAATTGAAACGGTAGGAATGTAATTTTGAGATTATTTTATTACTTTAAACAATGTTTTGTTGTATCCTGATGGTGCATTAAATCTTTATTTATTTATGTGGTCTCCTCAATAATGTACCTTCTCCCTTGGTCGCATCTCTTTGCGATGGTCTACAAATTTTACACCTCAGAATCTTGTCGATTTTTGTATTTAGGGTAGTTAATCTTCCCGTGACACTATTCCTTTTAATTCAAGTGTAAAGTAGACTTTAACTCAGATTAGGTAGCAATTAAAAATAAATAGAAAACGCTGATTGGGTTGTAAGCCATCAATCAAATTTTGGAAACCAAAAATTCTTTGTGGTGAGGCAATAATTGAAGGTCTTTCTTGCTCTAAAGTTATGCGTTTGCTTCTTCGGTTCGCCATGATTTGATGGTTGTTGATACTAATAACCCCCCAGAGAGGAAAAAGTGGGTTCATATATATATAAAGAGACTGTGCAGATTGGTGATAATGTAGCTACCAAATTTAAATCCTTTTAACTTTTTAGGCTATGGAAAGTATATAAGTAAACATATAGGGCGTTACGTACGAAAGAAAAGCACAAAAATTTTTGCACGCTGAGTACGCACAGAGAATTTCGGTACGTAGTAGTGACCACAGTGGTTTGGAACACACATAGAAGCGTGAATAAAAGCGCTCAGTTAACATCAAGAAAAATATCCATTTCAGATTTGTTTTATACACACCTTTATATCGGTACTACATGTGATAAGATGAATGTCATAAAAACAAAATAGTTTCTTTTTCAATAAGTATAAAGGTATGTAAAAAAGATAAACGTGAAATAATGAAATTGTTAGTATTGAAGTGTTTCCTTTTCTAGGGCCATGAATGTGACGTGGGAAACCCAACTGCACATTCCTCTCCTATCCTATAGGTTTCTTTGCTTATGCTTGAATCCTGGGAAACTGGCAAAGGCGTGGAGGGTACAAAGCTAGCACTGAAAGCTATGTAATAAGCTGAATATGAAAGGTATGTGAGAGACACTTTGTCTTCATATATTTTGGCTTCTATTCATCAGGAATCTCGGTAAGAGGAATGACGGGATGCAATCTTTAAGTTGCTCCTTTTAATTCATTCTTTTTCATTAGTTGAAATATATTAAAAATTATAAAGATATGAGTAAAAATAATTAAATTAAAGGTGTATTTAGAAAAATATATTAGTAAAAATGTTACTAACATTTCTCAATGCAGTAATATAAGAATAATTAAATCTTATCTGGTTAGTGAAATTAACTACATCACACGACATCATTCAGCTAAAAATTAAATTATCAAACCTGTCTCATCGTTATGGACACTTATATCAAACCTAATTAAGATATAAATATAATGCAACATAGTTTGAACGTATAATACACCAAACCTCACATGGTTTTGGCTTTATTATGGACTTCCAACATGAAGAATGAAGCTGGTCTCTACTCTGGACTTGACCAAAACTAATGTGGTTGTTTTCTCGTTTATGTTTTCTTCTCATTTAATATATAAGTAGGTGGTTTAGGTTGAGGAAAAAAAATGCCTTAACCCTCTAATAAGTTTGATCGTAGAATAGAAATGCACATATGGAAGATGACAATGGAGACACCTAACGTTGTCCTGTGCTTTCAACCGTGGATAAAGGAATTAAAACAAAAACTTAAAAGAGGAAAAAGAAAAAGGATAGAAAGCTTAAACGTATAGAAGTTAATCTCATCCATTTTTCCCATCTATCATAATGAAAACTAACACACTTTCTCATATATCATCATGCATGCTTGAAATCTTGCGGCTTTTGGTTTTCCTTTTAAGATAACTTGAAGAATCTTTTCACGGCAAGCAGACAGTAATGCCAGATGCACGTACCTCATGCTTGAATATCCCTGTGAAAATCTAAGTATTCGGATTGCCATAATGTGTTTGTACCAATTTAGTTGACAATTTTTGAAGTTTAAATGGATGGTACTCTTGTAAAGTCAAATCATTACTAAAACTTGATGTTTTTTCCTTTGATATCCTAAGACTAACATAAACTTCTTCGAGTGTACTATGAATTTAGCCGCAGTGTGAACAAAATTTAAGGATTACAAACGTGGCCCACTTGTGTCACCTTTTTTCTCGGGCACAAGTGGCTCTCTTTCTTGTTCTATAATTCTTTTGAACACAACCCATCACATTATCTTGTTTCCATATAGTTCCCTACCACAAAAGCTACTAAATAATCCTAAAACATTCAATTTGTTGCCTAGAGAAGGGTAAGAAAAGGTAAACTGAAAAGGTAGAAAGGCATCACTATATTTTTTAAGATAAATTATTGGTTGAAATTCTTCACTTACCACACGCACGCCTTATATATCCGTACCATTGTCAACTTTCTTATGAAACAGAGTAGGCAGAACTGATTCACTGGTACTAATACTATTTAAAGCCATATATTACATCCTCCTAGCACTTGAGTTCTTGCCATTGTTGATAATTATTTTTTTCCTTTCATTTCATGTTCTTCTTTTCTTACTACTTACATTTTCTACCCAGCAAAATTTGGGACTTTCTTAATTGCTATTTTCTGTTCCTTTATATGGAATGGACCTTCTAGCCTTGGAGCATATCTTTTGAATTATTTGATCTTCTGTCTGAAAGAAAACCTTGGTAATGAAACTTAGACATTCTGCGATGGGTTCCATTTGGATGTGTCATTTCTTTATGTTATTGGCCATATTGAATGTTGCTTTTGTTTCAACTATGGCCAATAATGCAACAGACTCCTACTGGCTTCTCAGGATTAAATCAGAACTGGTTGATCCGTCAGGAGTCATCAAAAACTGGTCACCAACAACTCATATATGCAGCTGGAATGGAATAACATGTGAAGTTGATCAAAATCACATTTTAGGCCTGAATCTATCAGGTTCAGGAATATCAGGTTCCATTTCAGTTGAGTTCAGTCACCTCATTTATCTTCAAACACTTGATTTGTCTTCAAATTCCCTTTCTGGCTCCATACCTTCAGAGTTTGGTCAGCTTCAAAATCTAAGAATACTTCATCTATACTCAAATTATCTCTCTGGAAATATTCCTGCAGAGATAGGTTACATGAGGATGTTGCAAGTTCTTAGAATAGGGGACAACATGTTGACAGGTGAAATTCCACCTAGTATCACCAACTTGATTGAGTTGACAGTGTTGGGTCTAGGCTACTGCCACTTAAATGGAAGCATACCCTTTGGAATTGGCAAATTGAAGAATCTAATATCCCTTGATTTACAAATGAACAGCCTTAGTGGACCCATACCAGAAGAGATTCAAGGCTGTGAAGAGCTCCAAAATTTTGCAGCATCAAACAACATGCTTGAAACAGATATACCTTCCTCTATGGGGTCTCTTAAATCATTGAAAATTCTGAATCTGGCCAATAACAGTTTATCTGGATCCATTCCTAAAGCCTTGAGTCATCTTTCAAACTTAACATACCTGAATTTGCTTGGAAACAAACTAAATGGTGAAATTCCTTCCGAGCTTAATAGTCTGATTCAGTTGCAGAAGCTAGACTTGTCTGGAAACAACCTTTCTGGATCAATACCACTCCTTAATGTAAAATTGAAGAGTCTTGAAACTCTTGTTCTTTCTGATAATGCTTTGACTGGTAGCATTCCAAGTAACTTCTGCTTCAGAGGTTCAAAGCTTCAGCAACTTTTCCTGGCTCGAAACATGCTCTCCGGCAAATTTCCTTTGGAGTTACTCAACTGTTCCTCAATCCAACAGTTGGACCTTTCTGATAACAGCTTTGAAGGAGAGCTTCCATCAAGCCTGGACAAATTACAGAACCTCATAGATCTTGTACTCAACAACAATAGCTATGTTGGATCTCTACCTCCGCAAATTGGAAATATTAGTAGCTTGGAAGGTCTTTTCCTATTTGGTAACTTTTTCACAGGTAAAATTCCAGTGGAGATTGGAAGGTTGAAGAGATTGAACACCATTTACCTCTATGATAACCAGATGTCAGGACTTATACCAAGAGAGTTGACAAACTGCACAAGCTTAATGGAAATTGACTTCTTTGGAAATCACTTTACAGGCCCCATTCCAGAGACAATTGGTAAGCTCAAGGACTTGGTTGTTCTTCATTTGAGGCAGAATGACTTGTCAGGTCCAATCCCACCAAGCATGGGGTACTGTAAAAGTCTTCAGATATTAGCCTTAGCAGATAACAGGTTGTCTGGTTCTGTTCCACCCACGTTCAGTTACCTTTCAGAACTTAGTAAAATTACCCTTTACAACAACTCATTTGAAGGACCTCTCCCTCATTCACTATCTTCTCTAAAAAGTCTCAAAATCATAAATTTTTCACACAACAAGTTCAGTGGAAGTTTCTTTCCTCTCACAGGTTCAAATTCTCTGACTCTTCTGGACTTGACCAACAACAGCTTCTCAGGCCCCATCCCTTCTACTCTAACCAATTCTAGAAATCTCAGCCGTCTCAGACTTGGACACAACTATCTCACAGGAAGCATTCCTTCTGAATTTGGTCACTTTACTGAGCTCAACTTTCTTGATTTATCATTCAACAATTTAACAGGAGATGTACCACCTCAACTCTCAAACTCAAGAAAAATGGAACACTTCCTGCTGAGCAATAACAGATTGAATGGCCAAATACCTCCTTGGTTGGGAAGCTTACAAGAACTTGGTGAGCTTGATCTCTCATACAATAACTTCAGTGGGAAGTTACCTTCTGAGCTTGGTAACTGCTCAAAATTACTCAAGCTTTCTCTCCATCACAACAATCTCTCTGGTGAAATCCCGCAAGAGATTGGAAACCTCACTTCTCTCAATGTCTTCAATTTGCAAAGGAATAGTCTCTCTGGCCTCATTCCTCCGACAATTCAGCAATGCACAAAACTTTATGAGCTCAGGCTCTCAGAAAACTTCTTCACAGGTAACATCCCAGTTGAGCTAGGAGGGCTTGCTGAGTTGCAAGTCATATTGGATTTGAGTAAAAATCTCTTCTCTGGTGACATTCCACCATCTCTAGGAAACCTCATGAAGCTAGAAAGACTCAATCTTTCTTTCAATCAACTTGAAGGAAAATTTCCTCCTTCACTTGGTAAACTCACTAGTCTGCACGTGCTGAATCTCTCAAACAACCATCTTGAAGGCCAGGTTCCTTCAATCTTTTCAGGATTCCCACTAACCTCATTCCTGAACAATAGGGGCTTGTGTGGCCCACCATTAGTATCATGCTCAGAATCCGAAGCACAGGGGAAAATGCAGCTATCAAACACACAAGTGACAGCAATCATTGTGGCCATTGTTTTTACTTCCACTGTGATATGCTTAATTATGCTGTATATAATGCTCAGAATCTGGTGCAACTGGAGAAAAGTGGCCATTTCAAGTGCAGATGGTGGCATTGTTGGTCAAAAGAGAGAGGAGGGTAGATGGGTATGTGTTGATCAGAAGACAAGGAATGGAGAGTATTGGAATATGAATTCCTTTGGGTTGATTCCTTCACCAGATAAACAGAATTCAGCAACAACAACTTGCTTCTATAATCTCAAAATGGAAACCATGGAAAATACAAATATATAAGCTTGTTTGCTTTAGTTTGGGTTCCAAGCTTTGAGGAATCATTAGTTATCCGAACAGTAGTGCCACATCATCAAATGCTGAATTCATTCATTTCATATAAATATAAATGTTTCTCTATTCAAAAGCATCCTGCCCTACCACATTTGTGGCAGTGGGAATTGATCATCAAATGCATTGAGTCATCGTTTCAGCGGACAAAGAGAACAAAATTAGTATTATAGCAGTGGTTCACAGTGCACCATGTTAGTAATCTCGCGATGAATAAACCAAATTAGTTTATGAAAATTAAGAGCACATAATTAATTTAGTTTCTGAAATTACAAAAATATCATTTTAAACGTTAAAATTATTAAAGTAAACCATTCTAGTAACTGATATTACTAACCAGTGATTATTTTATTTTAGTCTTTAAGATTCATAAGTATTAAAAGGATAACCTTGGATAATGTAAAAACTAAAATGACCCCCCCCCCCTTTTTTTTGTTGTATACTAAATTTTCTATACTTAAAATTATTACTCACTTTATATTGTGTTTGATTCGATGAAAGATTTTTCATTCATTATCACAAGAGTTCTTAGAATGATATTTCTAGTCACGATATTCTTAAAAATCATTTATTTATATTTGGTATTTTTATATAGTATAAAAAATTATTTTAAAAAATATTCGATAATAAGATAAAAATATTCTTAAAATGAATAAAATTTTGTTCCTTCCCCCTACTACTCATTGCCCTGTCCACTATCCATTTTATATAAAACTTTAATAATTTTCATGAGAATAAATTTCTCTTACTTAACTCTGTAGGTATGAAATGATGAAAATATCCGTTCCTCTCTCTTTGATATAATAAAAAAAATTCTCTTTTACTTAGTAAATATATTTGTGTATGTACAAAAGAAAAAATATATTATTTTTTATGTATAAGGAAAATATTACCATTATCATATAATGAGAAAAAAACACATTTCTTATGAATCAAACCCTATATATAAAATTTAAGTACTCAATAGAAAATTTATCCTAATCCATCATCTCTCAAAGTGAGTAATGTGGTTTCTTAGATCAAGCAGCTCACATTTTTTTTTTATTTTAGTTTTTCTATTTTTGTTTCTTAAGTTTAATTAATTTCAATTTCACTTTTAAAACTTAATACTATTAAATTAATAGACTTAAGGACACCGAACTAAAATTTAAGCAATAGTGAGTATCCTCTCTTCAAATTTCAAGAGTAAGTGTCTTTATGTTTATTAATTTAATATCAAGTGTTCAATTTTAAATTTTGAATTAAAATAATTAAATTTAAGCAATAATAATTGGATGTAAATAATACATTTTTCTAAAAAAAGAAGAGGGATTTCCATAATTTAATAGAGAAATAAAAAACAGGAAGATAAAAAATCATGTGACAAAGTAACTATTTTTTATACAGGAAGAAAGTAGAGAGTAAGTATTTCTTAAAAATATATTTTTTCATTCATAATTCATTAATTTTATTTGAGGATAATTTTTTATTCAAGAAAACCTGCCTCTTATATTCCTTTAATACTAAAATAATTCTTAAAATTTATTTCTTTACTCTATATTTCTACTTAAATTCTTTTTATATCTTTTTTTTTCTGAACACAAAAAAATTTCTGTAACCAAAGTCTTTTATTTAATTTTTTTTATAAGTTTTTATGTAAAAAATTTAAAGATAAGAAAACTTTCAATCCGATCTGTAGCCTTCAAAACCTCACCCTTGACACGCTGTTTTACTTATCTCCTTCACCCTCCACTCACTGTTTCTTATATTATTTCTATTCAAGATCCAAAAACAAAAAGGTATAAGAAAAGTTGAGAAGAATTCCATAGCCAGATACGTGATATTTCATTAATGCCGACAAATATATAAGGGAAAAAATATTTTTTAAAAATGAAGTTTAGGATAAAGAGATTGATTATGACATAAAAAAGGAGAGATTGATCATTACATGGGTATAACATGAGAGCTTGCATACACATCACCTACAAATGAAATGCCTATAACGAATCAACACAAGACATCCGTTTCGATTCAAACTTAAGCCTAATGCCATTGGCAATTAAAGGAAGTATTGACAGGAGAATAACAATTTCATAACAAATGTAGTACATTGACAGGTTGTAAGAACTAAGGACAGCCCAAGTTTCCACGTCACAATTCCTGCTTCACAAGTAAACCAAAAAATGAACTAAAAGTGGTTTCTTGACCATAATCTTCACTTATGCTGATCATCCATCATCCTTGATTTTATGTTGAGAAAAATCCATACCTGTATCCTTTGATTAACTTCCAGCCTTTCTCATAAGAATTTTGTACACTCAAACTTAAAATTAAGCTCATTAGGAAAGAAATTTTTTTTCCTCAGTTCTCTATTATGTGCCTTAGTTCAGCTCACCCCTGAAGGATACATCGTGGACTACGACTCTTCAACTTAGTTAACTAAACATGTCTCTTTCGATCATCTTAAAACTTCATGTCCAGCTACCTAGGTTCAGGTGCGCCAATATTTACTTGGATATTTGAGTCAGGGCTCGCCGTAAAGGTGAACCTGGGTGAAGAAGAAACGTAATTCTCTAGTACTGTTAAATCCTCAATTGGTGTTAGGGAACTGGTGGTACTGTGGAAAGAGGACCTTGCACTTGCTTGCCCATTTGAGGATACAATGCTCATTGTGGAAGTTAGGTTGGGGTCATCTAGATTTGGCACAATAGATTTGAGGAATGGTTGTTGTTTTGGGGTGGGAATAACGTAGTCGTTCTTGGTTAGCATCTGAACTACTTCAGACATGGGTGGTCTAAGAGAAACAGAAGATTGTGTGCAAAGAAGGCCAGCTTGGAGCGCATTTGATGCCTCTTCTACTTTAAACTTGCCATACAAAGCGGGATCAACGGATGCTGTGATATTATTTCCCTTGTAATTCTTCCAGACCTGAACAAGAAATTAAGATAAAAAAAAACATATTACTAGCTGCTAATGAAATTCACTAATACCAATAAGTAAAGGTATGGGGGATGTAAATCTTACACTATGGAGTATTGAAGTTGATCCCGGTTTGTAAACACTGTTCTTTTTACCACAGACAATTTCAACAACCAACACACCAAAAGCATAGATATCTGACTTCTCTGTCATTTGTCCTTTGACAAGATACTCAGGAGCCAAATATTCCCTGCATTTAAGCAGTTGAGTTTAATTTGGGACCTGACCAATTTGTATTACAAGTAAATTTTTAATCGAAATTCATTAGACCTTCGGTAACAATTTTATTAATAAATAGGAGGTTGAAATTCCACGGAAACGTTTTTACAAAGGTTTTCCAGTTTTTAATATTGCATGGCTTGAATATCAAGGTACCTAATATTTTTACAAACAAAAGTAAGTTCAAATGAAAGAAATTTCATACGTACAGTGTCCCTGTGTTTCCTGTGCTAAGATGAGATTTAGTTTCAGCAACACAACGAGCAAGACCAAAATCAGCTATTTTTGGATTAAGATTATCATCAAGTAGAATGTTGCTAGACTTTATGTCTCTATGAATAATCTTTGTTCCAGAGCCTCCATGAAGGTATGCTAAGCCCTCTGCTATTCCACATATGATTTGAAACCGGCGTTCCCATGGCAGAGCATTTACTGAGTCCTTACCTGCAAATAACAAGGGAACTTTTCTCATTTTTGAAAAGCAGGAGTGAAAAAAAGAGAAACGGAGAATAAGATAACTTGTCTGTATATGTATGTTCTTTCCCCCTTATGTGTTAAGCTGAATATCATGAAACATATGATAATTATAGGCTCAAATCCAAAGGAAGTGATCAAATTGTGCTGGCATCTGGTAAGTACTCAATAACAAAGGTTTTAAAAGCCAAGTCACCAATAAAAATCATGATGTTTCTCTACAGTAGCACCTGGAATGAATTGTACAAGCTCGTGTAGTTCATAACGAAAATAACACCCTAAAGTTTCCATAGATCATGTGTTTGATTAAGAATACAAAAGACAATAAAATATATCTGTACAAATGTTTCTAGCTAGTAAAAGAAACCATTCAAAATCATGCTACAAAAATATAGAAAAATATAAAATTTGAACCAGTCATCGGCACTGCAAATTGCATGTATTATATAATTCTATGCAAGGGTGCATTTAAACTGGACTACTCACCGAAAAGGACTTGATTAAGACTTCTATTGGGGACAAATTCATAAACCAACAGGCTTTCAGGGCCTTCAATGCTGCACCCCAAAAGTTTCACCACATTCTTGTGTTGAATTCCATTAATCAAATTGAGCTCATTGAAGAGCCCATCTGTCCAATGTCGTGTATTGAAAAACAGTCGTTTAACAGCAACTATGCTCCCTGAGGGTAGGGTTCCCTTGAACACAGAACCAGATCCACCCTGCCCTAATTTGTTTGCAGGATCAAAATAATTTGTGGCCTTCTCAAGCAAATCGTACCTAAAACTAAAACCAGCTATGTAGGCAAAACCAGGTGACGCACCACCGAGGTCGCTTACTGAACAGAGAAAGATTAGCACATTAGAGCAGTGAAAAATACTACATAGAAAAGAATTACTATCCCTATGGCTTCAGATGAGTAAGCATTACCTTTTCTATACAATGCTTTTCTTCTCCAGCATAGAAATGCAGCCAGAATGATTAATAAAACCGCTACAATTGCCAATACAACACATGCAACGATCAACCAGACACTGTGCCTTCTTTTAGGCCTTCCTGCAAAGAATGAAAGGAAAAACAAACTTCAATTGTAGAAATAAAACAATATTAACGCCCTGTTGACCTGTCGTAACAGGCGTGGAATGGGAAAATATTAAAGCATAGTATGCATTAAGAAATTAAAGATGCCATTGGAGATTCCTATGCATCTAACCTAATAGAATTCGAATAAGAACTCCAAATTCAAAACCGAACCTAAATCTTAAACTAGAATCATGAACTCAGAATCTCAAATACAAAACCTGAACCTAAATTACAATTTTAAACCTTGAACTTGGAATCCTAAACCCCAAACCCAAACCTTAAACTCAAACCCTCAACATAGCTGAGGATAAGAACAACTAAGATATATAATGGAGATTGAGAGAATGCATAATCTTTACTGTGGCATTTAAAAGGAGAACCAGCAGGACATCATATATTAAATTATTAAAATTAAAAAAATAAATATAATTAATGCCGTGTGCTGATATAGCATTATTTACAAAGAGATTGAAGTGAATAATCCTATTTTTTGTCCTTAAAATTAAAAAATGACACATTTGTACTTGTTGGTTCATTTTGTCGAAGTATAAGAGTAGTATATATTACCTGCAGAATTCTTTGTATCAATGACTGAGACTGTAACATCGTGGTAGAATTTGCGAGTTGAATATCTGAAAAAGCAACCAGTAAAGAGACTCCTACCCTCAGCTGCAGGCACACATTCCTGCAGTTTTCTCCCTGCCTCTCTCAAACATCTCTCGCAGTTCCATTTATCCAGTGTCTCCCAGCACTGTGCCAAGGCAAATACACCCTCACCTTCATCCACCGCAAACTTGCGTTCCGACGCGGCCTGCGTCACGTTCAAAATCACCGACGCAACACGTTTGTCACCGTCGTTCCCCAACGGATTCCTTGACTCGCACACGTTGATGTCATGACTAGGATCCAAGCTTTCGCGAAAGAACGAGTAGTTGTCATAACGAAGGAAGCAACCGTCAAGGTAGATTCTACCAGCTGTCTTAGGCATGCATCGTGATAATAATTGCCTTGATTGGCCGAAGCACGTGTAGCACTGTGTGAGATTGAGGTCACGGTGGCATTGACCTAATGCGTACATTGGATTCCCAGAACCAAGCAATGTCTGTGCTCCCCAACCATGTTCTTTAACCTGAAACGACAACGCATCCATTAGAGCCATGAAGTCTTGGCTTAACTTGGCTGAATCTTCTCCGGGGTACTGAAAAGACCCGCACGTGAGTCCCGCTTCGTGTACCCCAGCATCAGAGGAAGCCGCACGTGAGAATAATACTAATAACAGCGACGATATCAGGATTAGCCTGGTAATCATTTCGAGGTTGAAATTTCGCACCATTTGTTCTCAATGCTGATTATAATTAAATGCTTTTGTTTCAAGCTAAAAGGAAAGGATTAATGATTGCTCTGTTTTCTTCCTTTCGCTTCGTTTTTAATGATGAAGAACGAGAATTGACGAGGTGCTATTTGGTCTGAATAGCTGGTTGATCCGTTTAGGCTTTCTGGACATGTCTATAAATTTGCATGGAACTAATTCCAGCGCAGAGGTAGATAGGGAGTGAGAAATCCCGATCGTGGAATAGATGGTTTTGTGGATTGATTTTGTGACAGCCATGATCCTGTTAGGTTTTTCTTATTTTGCAGCAAGATAATATCATACAAGAAGAGTGGAACACCACGTTCAACATCGTTGCCTAGGCAAATTCGCTGTCTCTTTCTGTCACCAGATCTCTCATATCGGTTATCTATGAGTTATTCTTTTAAGTGAAATAATAAAGTTAAGATTTTTTTTCATAAATAAATTTATTAAGATTAAGTTATTTTATCCCATCAAATAACTCACACAAATTCATTAAGACCATGAAACTGTTCCATCGTTACTGAAAGCAATTATAGTTTAGCTGAATTAAGTAGCATTTTATTGGATAAATTCGTGTGTTATACACCAATGTATTATGTCCACTAAACTAATAAATTTTGTTTATAAAAAGGTAATATAATTTTCAATATGACATTTTAATTATATAAATCAAAATTTCAGACATACCAACAAAATTGTTGCAGTATAAATTTATAAGATGTATAAATCAATTATTCTTTATTAAATAAAAATTATATCAACGAAGGATATATTAGGAAATACCAATCTAACACTGAACTATCAATATATAATATTTTAAAATGAAAATATCATGTATTTATCTTTTATTATTTCTTTAAAAAGGAGGTCAACATCGCTGTAAAAAGGAAATGAACAATGGGTTAAGTGTAACGACCTATTTGTTGACGGTATTGGTATAAGTATTAGAGAGTAAATTGTTTTTAAATAAAATATATGTTGAAAAAAGTTAACTCTATCGTGTTATAGATATGTTTGACTTAAAACAGATTTGTCTCTGACATTTAAAATTGAATTCACATAATATACGAAGCATGATGAATGATAAGATTTTTTTCTGTTTTCACGGAACTCCCCTGCTATGCTACATGCAAATAATCACTAAGTCAAACAATTTTAATGATATTTTGTGACAACTTGGTTATATTTCTATTTTCTTCAGATAAATATATTGATATAAAAAAATTAACTCAAAGTAACATTAATTTATATTATTATAAAGCGAAATTTTCACTTTGGTGTTTAATTGAAGTTTTTCTTAAGAGTATTAATTACTTATTCAACAAGGGGATTTTTTTTTTTTATGTCAATTTTTGTTCCCAAAAACAATTATCCTTATTAATCAGTCCACTAAAGATGTAAAACAACACATGTTAACCTTCATTTAAAGATTAAAAGATTAAACCAAAGCAATTCAACCAAATTTTTTTTATCATGATAGAAAATCATAAACTTTCATTGACACATAATAATAATAATAATAATAATAATAATAATAATAATAATTTATGGTTTTTAACCCTATAGAAGAAAAATGTATTTTTAAATAAATTTCAAACTAATAAAATTATAAAATATATAAATAGTTGTGAGATTAGTTTTTTACAAATTATTAACAAGTATTCCAAAGATATTAATAAAAAGTTGCCGAAATATTCTTACAATAATCTTTTATAAAGAATTTATTTATTGAATTTTTAACTATCTTTTGAGATGCTTATTTGCAAGATCCTCATTCTTTTATGTTTTCAAGATAATGATAGTAATGGTACTTCGAAAACCCCATCTTTTGTATGAGATATAATCCTTAAAAAAAAACCAATTATGATCAAACTTCCCCATGTACCAAGTTGCTAACTAGAGGTACACAGAAATCATGTTATATAATGCTGAGGGATGCTTCTTCTTTTTTCTTTACAGTTGTGTTAAAACGAGTAAAATGTTACCTAGTCTCTTTTATTAGCATAAACATACCCAAGATTAACGCCCACGAGAGTTGTTTTTCCAAATTTTAGTTATATAAGTTTATCAACAATATAAATAATTCAGAATATCAAATAAGGACCAGAACATATGTAACTTATATCCATCTATAACGTGTTCAATTTAGTAGGTATATATGTGCCTCATCAAATTGCATAAACAAGAAATTAAGTTTGATGATCTTCAAGAGGTTCTTGAAGAGATATTATTAACCAGTGCAATACACCGACCTTAAAAGTAAATTTTCCATAAAAGAAATGTGAACCAAAAGACACGGCCAATAGAATGAATCATTCCATCTCATTCAATCTGATATCTACAGTTACTGCCACAAGCCAGCAGCGTCTGATGGAAAGAAGTACAAAGAAAATATTTCAGAAATGATTCAGCTAATATAATCCTGCCAACTATGAATTAAACAAGAGTAAATACAAAAGTATTAATAGAAATAGAGTATGAATCCATTTACACTACCTATCAAATTCATACATTTACATCTTTTAATAAATTTTTATATAATGTAAAATTAACAAATATCTTATACTAATATGTAACATATTTTTAAAATATAAATTAATATCAAATTTTAGATTATTATTTTTAGACATTTAAACAGTCAAACTTAATATTAAGAGTTGTAGTTATTTTTTAGGCTTAAGTTTATACGTCTAAAAATAATAAATTTTTATATAAAAATATTACAATATATATATATAAATAAAAATTTATTACTTTTCATAAATTTTAATAATAAATATATTATCATGTATAGGTAGACCACTTATAAAAAGGAAATACAAATGAGTTACACAAATGGTGCGTAAACTTAAAATCAATTATTTTATAAAATTTTAACAAAAAAAAAATCTTAAATTTGTTAACAAGTTCCTTTACGTCGCTTATTACTAATTAGTATTTGGCTTATTTTATTTAATATATGAAAATAAACTAAAAAGGTTATATTCTCAAAATTAGAAACAATTAGTTGTGAAAATGAATTATTTAAATCAAGACATTATATATATGTGTTATTAATTGAATATAATATATCAAAATTTAATTTTAGATTATAATTTGTAAACTTAAATAATAATATTCAATAAGAACAAAAAAATTTAAAAATTTGAAAACATGAGGCATTTGATGAAGCAAAAATTAGTTGCTGAGAAAGAACACAAACATTCTCAGACGAACTATTAGATTGGAAGAGGGAATAGAGACCTGATCAGTCATTCATGCAGGGGCGTCCATGGAGACCTGCTTTCCAGTGACGCTTCCTTTGGTTTATGAACCAATTGTTTATCTGCTTCTGATCAAGACCAGTCCATTCAGCCAGCGCAATCTTATCCGTTTCCTGCACCATGCATTAAGAAATTAATTAGAGCAACTTAAAACTAATTAAAACAACATTAATCTCTGCCAGGTATCCTAGTTAATTATCACAAAAATTAACATGCTTGAACTGGGTTAAAAAAAGCTTACTTACCGTTGGATATGGCCAATTAAAGTGGATATTCCACCATGAAATTAAGATTTGCCTTGCTTCTTTCGGTATCTTTTCTTTCTTCTTCCTTTTGGAAAATTCATGCTTCAGCCTGCTAATATAGCCGCTATATCTACGCAGAAGCTTATCCTTTAGCTGTCGATCTTCAGTTATCTTCTTGCACTCAGTTGCCTCTTTTTCTTCCCTACTGAAGTCCTCTTCAGATGATCCATTAGTCTCGTCTAAGGCATTGACACAAAAATATATTATTCATAAGGATCAAACCACCAAGCTAATTCCGTAATTTGTCCGTTCATGAAAATGTGTTTGGTGACGTTAATTGAAGGTAGCATAATCAACTATCTGGTCCTCATCGCCCCGGTTTCATTAGGTTTTAGATTTTACAAGGTCATGTTAAAAAAATTTGTTTTTATTTATACTTTAGATCTAAACCTATATTTTATACTTAAATAAAGTATACTGATCCTAGTTTAATAAAAACAAAATAGAATGAATTAAGTCAAGAAAAGTTTAAAATTAATTTAAACATAAAATTCATACGACAAATCTTATCTTATAAGTTAACAAACTCACATAGACTGACGTAGTCAAGGTGGCTCATTTTTATAACATTAGCCACAGCTGCCCGTGTAAAAATTCAAAAAATAAAAATAGGCCTTTTGAGTTTGTACATACAGACGAAGAAACAAAATATATATATTAGAAATATATTATCTCGTGTGTGTGTGTGTGTGTCATGTACGAGATGAAGCAACCGATGACCAACCTGAAGAAGAATATATATTTCCTCTTCCAAAAATATTTAAAACATATCTACGATATAGATGACATAATTATAAATACAAGCATTTTCTGAGTTTTGACGATGGAAATGTCTTCAGGTTTAACAATTGACAAATCAAACTAGTCATCAGTTTTTTTTTTTATTGAACAAACAAGAGATAATATATTAATTAAATATTAGAAATATAAAGAGTATCCTAAGTTAATAGAAATACTAGTCACATTATATAATGTAGACAATCTAAGGATTAGAAAACCACTCATGAAAGGTTAAATTTCACCTGTCACTTTAGCCTTAATCTATATAATGCAAGATCTAGTTTCATCATTTCAATAATTTTATCAAAGACCACCATTTTCGTAGAAAAGATTATCCCATTTCTATGTAGCCAAAGAAATCATAAAGTGACAAACCAAACAGTAAATCATGTTTTTCTTACCTGTTTGCTTAATTAGCTGCAAACCAAATAGTCAAAGAGACCATAAATTACAAACCAAACTAGCCATCATTTATCTAGGTGGATCTTAACTTAAATTTTTGAGAGATTCATTAAAAATTGATTATAATGATTCAACTAAAATTTATATAGTTATAGAAGATTTTATCAATTTTTTAAAATAATATATTAGCAATATAAATAAATCATATAAAAAAACTGATTAAAAAATTTATTTAGGGTAAAATATTTGATTTTGAAAGTGTTTAAAAATATTTTTAATATAAAAATATAAATAAAAAAATTGGAGAGCTTCCCTCCACTCCTTAAGACTAGTTTAGGAAGAAAGATTTTACAAAATAGGAGAAGGGAGGATAATTTTTTTATTTTAAAAAATATATTTAAAATAAATATAAATTAATATATTAATATAAATTTAATATATTAATTATATATTTATCATTATAAATAATATTTTTTTTTATTTAAAATTAAAAAAAATATTATTAATTCGCTTCTTTCTCTTTCAAAAATCACCTCTTAAACAATCCCTTTAAAGCTTCACATATACTAATACAAATATAAACAAAGAAACATGGTTGTATTTTCAATTTTTTTTGGGGAAGCCTAAATGGTCTTTAAATTTATACGCCCTTTTGTCTTTTTTTTTAAAAAAAAATTTCAGTTAGAAAAGAAAATTGAAAAAAAAAGTAAAAGAAATAAACTTTTTATATGCTTTTCTTTTCTTTAGTAGCTAAAATTTAGATTTTTGTAAAGAAAGAAAGGGGCTTACAAAATGAACATATATTGTTAATTGGCTGAAGTTGAAGGAGTCCACGGGTGAAAGTAACAATCCTCGTAAATCAAGAATAGCTAATCATCAAAGTGATGGTCCTAGGGCTATTGTCCTAAGTATATGTTTCTATGGAGGCTGATCCTTCGCTGAGAAAATTTAAATAACCAAAACATGTACTGATCAACCGAAAAGAAAAGAAGCACAAGGTCATTATAAATTAAGTCATTAGTGTCTGACTGTATTTCAAATCATGAATGATCCAAAAACTAATTGACTCTTTCCACATTTGCAGCTTTTAATTGTTGCCACCAAATCAATAATCTTCAGGCCAGCAAATGCTTAAATTAATGATTGCAGCTTTTCCCGACTGATATACCATAATTAGCCAAATGAATATACAAAAATAAAAATATAGTCTAACCTTGATGGTAATATTACTAAACTATTTCGAACAAGTTGCAAGTACAAATGCCACAGGTTATGAAGCTTCATAATAAATAGATAACATCAAAAGCAAAAGCAACTAGACTGAAGAAAAGAGAAAAAAGAATTTTTAAGGCAACACTGAGATCAGGTACGCGTGCAATCACACCACCTGAAAAAGAAGCCGATGTACATGGCTCTGGTCTGTTATATATAAATTAATTATTCCTTTAAAGGGATTCTATTTAAAATCTTGATTGTTTTGAGGATAAAGATTACAAAGCTTCATTGGCCTCTAGTTCAGGGTTAATTATATTACAGTCCGAAGTTGACATGCAAGAACTCTTTCCAGCTTACGAGTACTTTAAACAGAAACACGTGAAAGGTCTAAAATTTATTCAAATCTTGACTCATGCAATTCATTACATCCATACTTTCACGCTATATATATATATATACTAGTATAATTTTTTTTATTTAACTTATATCTAATATAGTTATAATTAGACTTATATTGGTGTAAGATCTTATTTATATATATTTATATGGGATAAGATCTTTTTACATTAATATAAGTCTAAAGTTACTTATATTTAATCTGAACTTTTTATTTAATTTAAATCTAATAGCCAGTGAAGTAATAAATTATAATCTATTAAATTTAAGTTAAATAAAAGAATCAAACTGAATATAAAATTTTTAGAAATGTTTCCCTTATATATATATATAATATCCAATTTCCGCTGCAAGCGGCAAACTAAGTCATAAGGTAGCAAAAGCTGCCCTATAGAATATAATTCGTTGGTTATTTACAATTTTTATTCAAGAGCAGTCATTAAGAGATAAATAACACGCAATGAATTTTCTTTTTTGTCTCGCGGTGAAGTTCAGAGGAAATAGTTAAATTCAAAACATTTTTTTTATCGGATAAACATATTTAATAGACACTTCCCTAAGAGAAAAAAATAAAAAATATTAAAAATAATAAATTATGTGCTGTGATAAATAATAATAAAAATATATTAAGTAGATGTTGATATTGTTAGAATATTTATAATACAAAATTATTGTTTACCAATGTATTAGTTACCTCCATCCTAGTATTGGTGGCAATAATGCTCTATCCAACGATCCTTTCTCCTCGAATTTGTGAAATAATTTATCTAAGCAAAAATACATTTATTAAGAAAATATTCTATGACAAACAAAAGGTTTTGGATTTATACACTAGAGAGAAAAAAATGATGAATAGGTTAAATTTTATAATTCTGACAGGTATCCTATATATTTATATTCTTAAAAAATATATTTTCAATTCAGTCCCTAAATAAAATTATTTATATTTTTAAACTATATTGTCGCACACTTTATTATTCAAGTTACTTTTAATTCTTACGTGTATTCCATGAGTATAACAGCACACTCATTTGGATTATAAACATGCTTTTCACTTGAAAAAAAAAACACACACACACACATAATTTGTTTAGAAATAGCTAGGTACATGTTTTAGATTTATTTTAAAAGTAACGTTTTGAAAAAAAAAAACAAATATTTTTTAAAGTAACCTAAACTAAATACAAAGTTTATAAAATAAGCATGTGCTATGTAACTAATAATAATACAATTTTATTAAAAAAAATACTTAAACTTAGAAACAAAAAAATATAATAAATATTTTTAATAAATTTATGTTTATTATTTATTTAAATTAAATCCTAAAAACTGAAATTAATGCAATTATAATTAGTAGTCTTCATTACAGAACACTTATTATCATAAAGATAATCAAGTCTTGTGAAGAAGGTAAGTGTATCATTCAGCAGACTACACACATACGCTCTTATATGGCCAACTCAAACAGGATGATCGTATGTTTAAGACATTACGCATTGGATTTGGATGGCTATATATATATATATCTCAGTCTCGACTTCTAAGTTAGCATACCATACTGCCTTCTGATCAAATTAAGACAGAGAAACTAAACAGCAGCAATCAAGGATATGTGTACTTAATAAAAACATTCTTTATTCGTATTTCTTGTCAAATCTTTTAAAATAAAACTTAACTAAACAATATTTTTTAAAATTATTTGTAAAAATAATAAATAAATAAAAAGTATTAACTTAATTAAACTTATCCTAATTGTTCAATGCACCATGGAATTGTTTATATATAAAAGAAAATAAGGGAGAGAGAGAAAGACCAGTAACGTTTTCGAGAGCAGAATCGTTGCAGATGGAGTTAAGCTGAGTTTCCATGTCGTTTAGAAAATCGATTGCCTCGTCAAAGGGCCTCGAGAGGTCGGATTGGTACTTCACCAGTAAACTGCAATATGTTTCCTGCAGTGCAAACTAGAAAAGATATAACTCAAATTATGGAGAAAGGGAACCCTTTATTAATTAGGGTTCTGGAAATAGTTAAGTACTAGTATTGAATGTGTTGAAGAATCTTATAATATAGTAATGAGTTCCGATAAAGAGACCATGAAATCATCGAGCTCGGGATCAGCACCCCATAACGCTGATGAAGTCTGACTAACACCGCCAGCGCTGTTCTCTCCTCCGATTTCATCCAACAATTTCACCATATCCTCCGACGCTCCCACCTTAAAATAATTTTACAACAAAAAAAAAAAAAACATTAGCTTTGGTAAAATTTAATGAATTAGTGTATATATGTTTAGTCTAGTTTATTTTTTCAAAACAAACTTTATAGAGTTAAAAATTTAAAATTTAAGCTAAATCAAATATGTTATTACTAACCGATTTAAGGCAAACAAATTCAAAGGGAAATTTATGCTCATTGGCAAGGTAGAATTGTTGATTTATAGGATTGGATCTGATGTAAGTCTTATAACATGGGAGATGTGGTTGGTTTTCTTGTTGAAAAATTTAGGCTTGAAGTGCAATTTTGTCTAAAATGACCAAGCAAACTCTTAATTATATTTTATTTTATTTCTAACAAATGATTTTAGATAAGAGGAAGGAAAAAACAAATTGCGCCAAAATGCAGTTGTAGAGGAGAGAACTCTAATAGCGATCGAGAGTTTGTGGGAATATTTTATTTGAAGTTACGAATAGAGAAAGGAAGAAAACGCTAGATGTGAGCGGTGCACGAAGAAATTAAGAAGCGCTGGTGTTTATTCAAGCTGAAGTTAGAACAACTCATATATACCTTCTGGCAATTTATATATGCATCGAGGAGATTAGGAAAGAGAGGATGAGAAGCAATTTTGGCGCGAAATGTTTTCGAAACCTCGTCTTCCTCGACCCTGCCGACCTCGGACGACACTGCATCCAATGATGAAGAACAAGACCGGTTCAATTGCGGCGGTTCAGGAACTGGAATCCAAACCGGTGAAATAACGTTTTCACCGGTCGGTGTTAATGGAGGAACCGGTACAGATGACTGCGACTGCTCGGAGTAACCGGCGGTGAAGTGGAAACCGTGCAGGTCCTCCATTTCTAATTCGGAGAAAAGAAATAAATTGAAGTTGTGAAAATGAAAAAGAGAGAAGAGAGAAAAAGAATCAGGTAACTCTTAACTCAACATTTATGGCATAAATCAAATATGCTGTAATAACTAAACTAATAAAGGTTGGTGAATTATCTACTAACCTGAGAAGATGGCTGCAAGGGGTTAGAGAGAGAGAGAGAGAGAGTGCAAAGCTTCAGCACTGTCAAAAAAGCAACCAGTATCATGTCAACGATGCCCCTGTCGAGTGTAGCTTTAAATATATATTTCGTCCAGAGAAATTCTTAGGTAGCCCAACCAAGAATTATTGTTAACGTAGATAAATTTTTAGTATTTATATTTTTATGAGAAATTGTTTTTATTTTTTAAAATATAACATTTGCCTTTATTATTTTTTATATTCAACACACTTTGTCTCCATGATGATATATATGATTAATTAAAAATTTATTACATTTAAGTTTTACATCACATCAGTAAAAAGAATTAAAATGCTGAATTTAAAAAATAAAATAAAATAAATTAAACTCTACAAAAATATAACCATTTTATTTGACTAATGTTATATTTAATACGGAAAAGGAATTCAACACTTCATCAAATAATTTATTTTTGTATCGTTAATTGGGTATTATAGTTGTCATTCATCAATAGTATAATGTCTATTATGATGTATAACGATTTTGATTCTTCCAAATTCATTTCCCTACATCTTTTTCCTTTTTATATCTCTTTTTATTTCCGTAAGAATTTATGTATAAATGAAAATATTACACAGGGTGTAAGCGTTTATCTATCTTGCTCGCACCTCTGTTTATGCAATTTAAGATAAAATAAATAAAATGAAATCCGAAGTCAGAGCAAAGAGCAGTGATAAATATAAGGGTTGAGTGATTTGTAGGAAGGACTTAACTACTAATCTTATCCTTAGATAGAAAGTATTTTTGTGAGTGTCTCAACTCTGACCAGAATCTGGATACTCTGCAGAGAACTGCAACCTCTCGTCTAAATTCACTTAAGTGAATTTAACAAAAAATAATTTTAGTTTAAGCTAAAAAAAATTTACAAGGCAAAAAATTTACTTAAACTAAAATTTTATAAAAAATTCAAAACTTTATTTTCTTCTTTTCTAAACTAGAAAAAATTTGAAAATTTTTTATTTTTTACCAATGACTATCTAGTTATCTAAGGCTCTTATATATTTCATCTTACTAAATATTCTAAATGTATTGTTTAGTGTGTTACTTATGCTAAATATTAGTGAGGTAGATACATTTGGAATCAAGTTAAATTATTAGGAATAATGATAAGGATTATAAGAATGATAACTTTGAGAAATTAGTTAAAAAATAATTACATTATTATATATTTTGAAATACTCAAGTTTTTGTAGCATGACTATAAGGTGTGATCACATGATTTTGCATAAACATTTCTAAATGTATTGTACAATGTGCTATTTGTACTAAACAGAATCATTTTGAATCAAGTTAAATCACTGAGAATGATGATAAAAATTACAGAAATGATAATTTTAAAAAATTGGTTGAAAAATAGTAATTACATTATTACATGTTTTGAAACATTTACACTTTTGTTGTATGGCCATAAAGTATACTATATAATATTACACAAATGTTTCTCAACTTTTCTGTAGTTTAAAGAAGAAAAAAATAAAATTGTAAACTTTTTTGTAATTTTAACTTAAACAAATTTTTTGACTTAAGTAAACATTACTTTTTTACTAAATTTGTTTAACACTTTTTACTAAGTTTGTTCGATAGATTTCAGGATAGTTCAAGTATATGATATCAATTTCAAAGAGAGCCGCAGGAAGTGCATTCTGACCTATTGAAGAAAATTTATTATCAATATTTTATCATAAAAATATTTTTTTAAAAAATAAAAGTTTACCTTTTTTTTTTTATTAAAAATCCTCATTATGTCAAATATAGGTATAAAGTGAATAAAAAAAATTATTTAGCACATACATTTCATGTGATTTATCATGGTTCAGTTTAAATAATTTTTTATAAAAACTTATAAAATTTAAAAATAAAATAATAAAATGAATCAAATCTCTTTTATATGTTAAAATTAATTTATATTTCTTTGTTTTTTAAAATTAAATTATAAATTTAATTCTTATATTTAATATTTTTTAATTTATTCTTTATATTAAAATAATTATAATTTAGTCTTTGCATGAATCAATATTTTTAACTTAGTTATTGCCTTTAAAAATATATTAACTCTGTTATATGAGGATTAAAATGTAAAAAAATAATAATACATAAATATTAATTATAAGGACTAAGCGTGTATTCAAATTAAAAATAAAAAAATTATAAACTGATTTTTGAAAAAAGAATATGAAGTATTAAATGAAAAAATCATAATTTTTAAATAATTAAAAATTAGATATTTATGCAAATTTATATTTACTGTGATTTCATACAAGATAGTAAATTCTTTAAGAAAAATATTTTTTAAATATTTATAAAAATGATATACAATAAAAAAAATATTAACATTATACTCTATTCAATTATTTGAATATAAGATAAAAGATACATATAAATTTTTAAAAAAATATTAATTTAAGTTCTTGAAGTTAAGTTTTGTTAATTTTATTTTAAAACATATTTAATTTTTTATTAATAAAAAAATTTACTCTATTTGTTGAAAAAGAATACATGCATCGTTAAAATATAAACAAATATTCTTCATTTCAATAAGATTTCATCATAACTATTAGTTGCTTAAGTTTAATTTTAGAAGCTGAAATTAACTTTTTTGTTTTATATTTTCATATTTTATCTTATCTTTAAATGAATAAATAAAACATTAATATTAATTCTTTAAAAAATTTCATTATAGTCCAATTTTTATTGAATATTTAAAAAATATTTTTTATAAGAAAGAAAAGATTTATTATATTTAATATGTAAAATTTATTAGATATAAGTTTACTCAAAAATATAAATTTTTAGTCTCTTAAAATTTTGTAAATTTTTTGTTCATTACTTTATTTTTAAAAAAAAATAAGATTATAATTTAGTTTTTATAATTAAATTTTATTTAAAAATTAATTTTTATAATTAATATTTATGTTTTAGTTTTTATATAATTTCTTTTTTACATTTTGGTCCTTTCATCTAATGTTATTGATATATTTTAACAATAAAAACTAATTCAAAAATAATTACTTATATAAGGACTAAATTTTAACTTTTTTTTTATGAAAGAACCAAATTCTAAAAAATGTATTAAATATAGAAATAAAATTTATAATTTAATCTTTTTTAAACGAATCTCTCAGTTAAACCCTCTAAAGCAATATAAGTTTTATTTAATTTATAAAAAATATTTTGTTAATTTTTTTCTCTTGTAAAAACTTATTATGTACAAACTTGTTCAGCCTGTACAAGTGTTAGAAATAAATTTAATTTAAAGTGAGAGTGCACTATTAAAAAATTGTGAAGTTATAATCATTAATTTAAAATTAGTAACAACTTAATATATTACAATGAAATGATACACAAATATAATAAATTATATATTATTAAACTAACTTTCTTATTTTTCACATAAAAATCCTAATTTATAGTTTTACATATGAAATGTGCCTTTCACTACCTCTGGCTCACAGCGACATGATCCAGGTTCACGGATGCATGAAGCTATTTTATTTCAAAAGTTCGTAACAGATATAAATGTTGGTGATGATGAAATGAGGGATACAAAGAGAGAAGGGAGGATGCATGAAAGGGAAAAAGAACAACCTCATCATCATACATTCTTAAAAAAAGGAGATGTCCACAAGAACCTGATAATTTTGTCACCTGAACAAACTACGTTATGTGTTTGTATTTTGTATACATTCTAGTGGGTGGGAGAGTGTACTTTCGACTTTAGAAGATAAAATGTATTTCTAAAATTAACAGTTAAAATTATAATAAAATATATAAATCATGAAATTATTAAAATTTTAATTATCAATTTTTAGTCAATAATTATCTTGGAGCTGCCAGAGATCTTGAGTGTTCTGTATAGAGAGCTTAGGATAAACAGTACTCTAAACTATTTGTTAAAAATCAACTGCTTAAAGGTAAATCTTAAGTACAATACTTTAATATATATTTAATATTATTTTAAATTAAAATTGATGACATACATAATAAAAGTTGATATCTTAGATTGTTTGCAAGTTAGGAAACTTAACTCCATAACACTTGTTAAAAAAACACTAAATAACTGTAATTAAAGAATATATAAAATTTAAGCATAGTTATCTGACTTGCAGTTCAAATTCAAATAACTACCCTGAAATTTTATACATTATTTATTTGTGGTGCACCGGGGCTTGTCATGGATGTGTGGCTATTCATCCTTATGGTATATATGCAGGTGAAGTTCATATCAGCTAGGGAGCATTTGAAGACGAGAAGTTGGAATATTCGCATTACCCAGGAGCTCTGAAAAGGTAATAGTGTAAACAATGGTTGGCAAATATGAAGTCAGTTTGGATAAGAACAAAAAAATGACTCAAATTTTTTATATAAATTAATATTAATTTAATACATTTTAATTTATAAAATAAATAAATAAATGAGTTTATAAGAAAGTTAAAATATATAAATTAACTTACATAAAAAAGTTCAATTTAATCTTTTTTTATTCTGTTCATTTGTCCATAAAAATTTGTAGAAAATTTTATTTTAATAGTGTCTCATAACACCCTTTGAATATGCATTTAGTGGGAATTTCTCCTGCTGAATGTGGGGAGTTTCGTTTTTTTAATATAGATAAAATTTTTAAGAGAGTGAGATATTTACTTATTTTAAGAAGAGGGGTGAGAGTTCGAAATAATACTTTAATATGAATGTTTAGAACGGAGCTGAATTAAGGAAAAGATCCTTAAAACGCGCGTACAAACAATGTCTTTTTGTTTTATAGAACTTCAATTTTTTATTTAAATATTTTTT